AGCTGAGCCGGGGGATGAACTGGTTGGCTCTTGAGCCTGGTCGGATGGTCACTTGCAGCAACATTTCACCAGCGGCTCGGCACGTTCCTACTTACACCACCGCCGGCCAAACTCACGTACCACGCAGTCGGTAAATAAACAAAAAAACAAAAAGCTCTCTCTTGTAATACGCCGGAAAGAATATGCTCGGGCTTTTTTTATATACACACGACAAAAGAACAACCCTTCCTGCACGGACGGAGAGGGCTCTTTGAAAAACGCTTTCTAATCTCCCTCTCGGTTGTGAAGAGGCGCAAACGGGATTAATTCTCTGTGAATTTTAATTTGCGCCACACCGCAGCCGCCTCCCCTGCATCCGAGCGAGGTGTTCAAGTGCTTTTGTCGCGCTTCGTTTTTATATACACTCGAGTTTGTGAAAATCAAAACAATCCCACAAGCACATGTTTTAAAATCAACAATTTAAACTTTCTCACACTTACAACGGGGTAGAATTTTAATTGAATTTCCCATGGGGAAAAAGTCTATGAAAATTATAATTGCAAAAGAGAAAGTTTTGTAACAAATATTGAATTGAATTTTGAGAAATATCGAAACGCATTAATTGATTTTGAAGCTGATAATCGTTTTTCTTTTTAATTCAACTTTAAAAACATAGAATTTGGGTAACTGTTAAAACACTTAAAACTTATAATAAATAAATAACATATTATTTTTTTTTATCACTTAATTTATTTACTTTCCGCATTTTAATAATAGATTTTTATATACATTCAGTAAAAAATACATGTGTACATTTAAAAAAATGAAATTAATAAATTAGATAAAATCAACATACAAAAGTATCACTGTGCAAAAAGTTAAGGGATTCAAAATAAAAAAAATTGTATTTCTAATATTAATTTATTGTCTTTCTCTTAAATAGAAAAGCTTAAATTCATTTGCTTACTTACAATTAGATGATAAAAATGAACAAATTTTAAATAATTTGTTTTTCTGAACTTTCAGAAACTTTAAATCAAAGGATTTGTATCTCCTAAATCCATAGTGGTCGCGCGAGGAAGTGCCGGTTTTACCCCGACAATAAATAACGAAAATTCTTTAAAAAGCGTTCCAGAAATTAGCTTTAACTGACATGAACGGTTTTTGAACACTAAATTTTGATCATGTTCCTGAAATATAAATTTTCAACAATAACGAAATATTACAATTCTTTTTAGCTCCTGTCGACAATTTTGAATATAATTAAAATCTAAACATTTCACTGTAACTTCACTTAAATTGTACGTAGAAATTAATAACAGTTTAAACTTTATTTGGGAATAAACTTTGTTAATTTGCCTGTAATTTTATAACATCTTCAATTATTCAAATCCATACTTTTCAAATATTTAGAAGTAAAAATAAGTTTTTAAATATCTCGTGTATCCCTTAACACCAAAAAGAAATTTTTTTACATTTCATTTAAATCAGTACTTGCACATCAGCCCTATTATGTTGGTACACTGCTGTTTACAGAGCCATGGGGTCTTATGGCTCTGGGAGGAGACATCATTTTTTTGGCCAACATAATAGAGCTGATGTGCAAGTACTGATTTAAAATATTTAAACCTTTAATAATTAATGCTACTATTAATTAAATCTAATCTTTATCTTTATATTTGTCTACAGTTTAATCTTAGTAATTTTACACATATTTTTGTAAACCAACAAAAGTTGATTAAAATACAACAATTTCACTTAAATTGACTTAAAATTGTGAAATTAATGCAGCAGATAAATTTAATTATCTTTCTATTGATAAACTCTTCCGTTCTGTATAATTCTCAACAAAATTGGAGGAGGCATGTTGGCGCGGGGTGGCGAATTAGCCCCTCAATTAGAGGGCGCGCGCCCCACTCTCGTGGATGCGGCGGGGGCGCGCCAACCCGCCACCCGCGCCCTAACACCTAACTTACATCACATCTTCACTACTTGCCGGGGTACCTTTGTACCCTTGTAACAAACCGACCGCCCTATCACTCGCTCAAAAAGTATCACGTCGCACACACAAAAGGCAGAAAGATGCGGCCAATGGGAGCGCGGCCGGCGCTCCGCCGGCAACCCCTTCGCGCGACAGACTCCGCCCCCCGCGCCAAGTTATGCAGCACCTGTTTCCATTCTCATCCCTCGGCGGAAAGAGCTTGCTAGGCCGCTATAAGTAGTGCGACTGCAATAGGTCGGCCGACTAGTCGCCCGCCAAACTTTTTGCCTCCAACAAGAGAGCTCGGCCCGCTCGGCCCGCCGCCAAAATTAAGCTGTCTGCAGGCGACAGCTGCTGGGTTCGATTCCCGTCGGGCCCCGATCAGCACGCCCCCGGCGCCTTCTTCAACAGCCAACGCGTCCGGAGAATGGGAACAGGTCTGTTGCAATTTTTTTACTTAAGCCAAAATATTTAGAAAAGGTTGAGATTGTTTCGAATTCAGTGGATAGGCAATGCGTTGGGCGCCCGCGTCCTACAGGTTGCATACTTTGAAAATTTTTGGTGGCGCATGGCAAAGGAGTAAGACAAAAATGATGATCTTGAAACTCACAATCAGATATTAAAGATAGAGCAAAATTTCATTCTTTTATTTAAAAAAAATATAAAAATTTTGGAATAAAAAATTGTAATCTAAAGATTAAACCATACAAAATTTATTATTTTTTAATTAATTTCTCCTGTTGTTACGGAAAATGTAGTTAGAAAATAATTTGGAATAATTCTTAAAACGGACATATTAATTTAAATGATTAATATCTTGTTTTGTCCAATTGTTGCAAAACATGCTAATCTGAAAATGATGAAAGAATTGTTAGGGATTGTTGTTGGACAAAAATACTCGTAAATCTTTGACGTTTTGAGAAATCCTTTGGCTACATTTAATAATGGAAAGACAGCAAACATCAAACTGAATTTATGAAAAAGGGTCTTTTAGTTATCCAAATCTTTTATATTCCTATTTATTAACTGTTTTTTTTTTGTAAATTTACTAAATTACAAAAAGTTTAAAAATTCAATGAAATATCATTTTATAACATAAAATAGGGACCAAATCTAAACTCCATATTAATCGAGACGAATAAATATTATTGATTCCAATTCAATAAAAAATGTTCTCTCTTGGACTATCATTGAGTATTTTTCTAGTAGCAAGTTATGTGACGTTCAGAACGTCAAGTAAAAAAGATTAAAAAGAAAAAAAAAACTTAAAAAAGATAAGAAGAAGTTTTTTTCTGCCTCTCTAAACCTTATTTTCTTTTAATCCACGGAAATGAGTGTTACGAAAAGATAAATAATTTCATTGAATCTATTCAATAGTATAAAATATTCCCCGCACCCCATTTGAAAGTAATACTTTTTTAAATTTTATATTCAAAATCAAAATTAAAACAAACTAGAAACTACTTGGCTTTTTTGCCCTAAGAAACAGATTGTCAATCTTCAAAACAGCTTTATTTAGTCCAACTATTAGTGGCGTTAATTCCGAGAAACAGGAATAAATCCTGTGTAAACAATCCAAGAACTCATGTCTGGCCCGTCTCCGCTCTCTATCTCTGTGCAAACTTATTAACAAAATAGCCCAGGCCGGACCGGAAATTTTGCGCACCCGGTGACACTGCACGCAGTTGTTTGCTTACTACATCAGCCTTGCCCGTTGTAATCTAACTGTGGGGCATTTATACTCTCTGTTGATTTATTAGCAAACCAAATTTACAGCAGCGCCGACATGCCAGGCTCCAACAACAACAATAATTCCGTGCATCAACACCCTTCGCTCTCTCCCACAATAATTGTGCGCTCGGCGTTCGATTTTGCAAAAATTCCGCCCGGAATAATATTTTTCTTGCCAACATTAACCAGAGTAAACAGCAACGAAATTACAAAAATCATAAAATGTCCGATGAAAAAATCGAACACAATTTTTCGGCAGCATCATTAGTTTTTGCCTGTTCACTTTGTGAACGCTTTTTGCTGCCTTTTTATCACCGCTTTGACTAGGAAAAATGATCCTCATTCACCACCATCTTGCCCTTATTCAATCTCTTGCGAGGTGAAAGGCGTGGCTTTCGCGCACCAAACCCGCCCTGACGTCCTTCTTGACTGCTTGCCATTAGCACGAAAAAGCAACACAATTACTCACTTTGAGCTTTTCTCTTCCGCTCGCAGATCAAAAGAAGAAGAAGTAATGCTTTTCCAAAGGGAATAATGTTTGAAGAAATTTTTGTCATTATTACTTTTATTGAGAATCTTTTAGTTTTTAATAAAACGTTAAAACAATGATATTTATTTTTAATCTTTAATCAGAAAAAAGTAACAGTCAAGATAATTTGTTATTATTTTTTTTTTCGCTGTAAAATTCATTCGAACAATGGATGCTAGCAAATCGTGTCCGTTCTGATTCTAAATAAGAGAAGAAAAAAATAAATTGAAGACTTTTGAGATTCGTTATCTTAATTTGAGCCATTTTCTGAATTAAAATTTTTTTACCTGAATATATTGTATCCTTTTGAAAATTTTGTTATAGTAGAAATTTAAAAAGAAGCTTAACGCGAATGAAAAAAAAATTACTTTCATATTAGTCAGATTTTTAATTATACAATAAAAGCTTTAAAAATAAATTTTAAAAGTAAAATATGCTTAATTTCATGTAACTTGTTAATGAATTTTAAAAACATAAAATGTAATTAATTATAAATGTAATTTCAAATAAATTTGGAATTTTCATGACCCTAACGGTGAACTTGAGCATATTAATGGTAGGTATAGTACGTTATTATGTAATTAATTGAAGCAGTGTGTATATCTTGGAGGAGCCGAGATGAATATTCATTGCATGCTGTGATGGGGAACATCGGCTTTTCCCCGTTTTGCAATTCATATGAAGCGCCCCGGTTTCTGCTCGGCACGTTCAATTTCGAGTCAACCAGCATATTGATGCCTTTGTGCTAACATGATTTCGGTGTGCTCTTGTTTGTCGCAGGAGATCGTCTGCTGGATATCCCCTGCAAAGTTTGCGGCGACAGGAGTTCTGGCAAGCATTACGGCATCTACAGCTGCGACGGTAAGTACTTTACTGAAAGCAGGAAGGCTGCAAAAGCTCTCAAATATTCACTTACATTTCTATACGCAATCATTCATTGCAAAAGTAGATTTATAATATTGAAAGAAATAAATTTTTTTATGTAGATCATATTTTATAAAAAAATCTCTAGGTCTTGGTTGAATTTCTCTAATTGTTCTAAATTTTACCAAAAATCAGGTGCATTTTAAAGAGTGAATAAAAAAAATATCCGACGATTTTGGAGAAAATTTAAATGAATTTAATTTAAAATTAGAGATATTTACAGATTTATTTTAGCAAATAATCTTTTAATAAAATTATAAAAAATATATTAGCAAATTTTTGTACACCCACAATTATTTTATTTAATTTATTTTAAATAATTTCCAGTGTAATAAATAATTAAAAAACGACTAGATCCGCCACTGTCTCTTAAACGTCCTTAATATGCACCCTCGGTGGTGTTGCAGCCCAGCAGTCCTGGGGAGAAAATCCCCGGACCATAATACTTTTGAGCCTCCTTTTCGGTGCAACAGGAGGATTACACGAACCTCTATTTTAAACGGATTTTCCTCGACTTATTTGCGCAGGTTGCTCCGGCTTCTTCAAACGCAGCATCCACCGCAACAGGGTGTACACGTGCAAGGCCCAGGGTGACCTGAAGGGCCGCTGTCCCATCGACAAAACGCACCGGAACCAGTGCAGGGCGTGCAGACTCAAAAAGTGCTTCGACGCGCTCATGAACAAGGATGGTGAGTACTTACAATTTTATTTTTCCTCTTTAGGTTTTATTGATTTTTTTCTCATTCTTTTTACAAAAATGAAATTCATTGGAATTTTACTGAAAATAAAAAAAAATTGAACATTTTCAATGTCGCATTCTGATGAAATCGTGAGGATTCAAATTTGTTACGGTGGAAAATTGGGATAAAAAAATTTAGCTTACAATAAGAAGAAATAAGTTAGGTTATTTACTTCTACCTCTCATAATTAATGTGTACATTTTTTTTAAATTTTTGTTTAAAATATAAAGGAAACACAACAAAAACCTCAATTTCTGGAATTTTGATCTAACAAAAAATTGACCTATTCATTCGTTGACAAAAAGTTATAATTTTCAACAAAAAACACCCTTTAATTTAGGTTTCCGGTGTAAGTGTAATTTTGCAAAATTTGAACTGAAATATTTAATTTGAAAAGGTAAATTTGATAAAATTCGAATTTGTTCAGTTTATAATTTATTTTTGCGGCTTATTTAAAAGTTTCTTATTATCTGTGAAATTAATTTATAATAATTACAAAATAATGAAATGTTTGTAAAAATATAAAAAAAATTCATATTTTCTTTAAAAAAATTCGCATAATATTTTCAATATAAATTACATCTTTGCACTTTTAAACTTGGTGATTTTGTAATTACCAAAAATTTCCAAATAATGCCTTTGGCGGTTTTATATTTAACCATCGCAAATAGTTAATGTAAATATTTGCACATTTGGCTGTTTCATGTGTTCCATACATTCATGACTTTAATTACAGAGATAATTGTTTAACGGAGGTAATTAAATTAAATTCAAATTCGGTCAATTTTCAGACATTTAATTTAAGTGGGTTTCATAATTTTGTTTGTGTGATTAAATCCGTTTTTAAAAATGAAAAATTCAATGATCAAGTATGAAAAGTGTCGGAAATTCAAACTTTGCTTGTTTTCGAACTAATTTTCCAAGTTGCGTGTTTCAACTTGTCATACCTGTCCTGTATATATTATATATCCTCTGACAAAACTCGGTGGAACATTTGTGCGTATCCCCGAGGCGTCTTTGGTATTCTCTCTCACCGTCCTCATGTTTGATTCCCACTCCGCTTTCTCTCTGCTATCTCTGCCGTAATAATTTTCCTTACAATTTGCAATGTCAACACGGAATAAGAATCACCTGCGTCGCGAGCGCCCTTTTACCGCTACAGTCTCTTTTGTGCTCGGCGCCGCGGGGCCGTGTTATTTCAAGCGCTCCTGCTGAGATTCCACAATCATCTCGCAGCAGCCGCAAAAATAATACGAGAAAAAGCGAAATAAAAGCACCACAGTGGTTTCCATGGGCAATCAATTTCTTGTAAATCGCAAGAGAGAGGGTGAAATATTGCTCCGCTTTTGTTATATTTGCGATCGGAGAACCAGGCGAGACTTCACATTTGTTGTTTTTATTGAAAGAAAAATATCGTACTTTGTAAAAAGATAAAAGCTTTGTTTTTTGTTGGCTTGAATATAGAAGATGAAAGGAATCATTTTAATTTAATTTTGTTCTCAAATTATTTGCATGTTGAGTAGCATTTTTTGCACTGATTTAAATTTTTTGTCCTCGTTTTGATTTCAAACTTTTTGCAGCGATGGGGGACCTTATAACTTTTTGTTTGACTTGCGTGATTGTCATCAAAGTCTGTATTTGCCGCTCGAGGAGAGCGAGACAAAGAAGCATGCGAGAAAATTAAACTCAAACATCTTATTAGAGGGAGACGCCTCTCTGAAAACCACTTCTTTGCCTCTGATCGTACTTTCTGGGGAGAAAAGCACACATTGCCGCGCGCGTAATTTCAATCAGCTTTGTTTGCTCGGAAACTTAGCATCTCATAATTAGCATTTCACGTCACACAGAAAAGGAATAAAGGAGGTGGGATATTAATTCTAAATAAATTTTAGCTTTATTAAAATGTTTTTGAAATGATATTATTTTAAGAGAAAAACAGACGGAAAAAAGATTAATAAAATTTCCAAATAAATAACATTTTTGTTCCAAAATTTGATTTTTTTATGTGAAAAGTTTTAAAATGGACAAGTTTGAAATTCAAAGGTCTTCTTTTATATCAGTTGGGTTTTGTTTGAATCCAGCATATTTGTGATTATTAAAGGCCCTTCCTTGTAAATGAATTGAATTTGTAATTTTAAAACACTAAAAATAAATTAAATTTTAATTAGAGATTTCAATTGAACAAATTCACACTCTTTAGAATTGAACATTTATTGTAATCTTTTATATATTTTGAGGAAATTCTGGTTGCAAAAAGCGATCTCGGCATCATTCATGAAAATTAGCATTCTTTAGAACAAAAAAAACAACTTTTACTGGGGAGACCCTTCTTTAAAATACTCAAAATTCCAATTGCGTTTGTGAAACTGATGAATTGATAAAATAATTCGATCCTCTGGAGGAATCTGCAGACTCACACCAAACGTCTCACTTGAATTAAGGGCAATTAGGGAAAGCGTTTTTGCACCCTCGGCTGGGAAGACGCCGAGCGAGGGTGGTTTCGAGAGAGTGAGTCGTTGTCAATCCGCCTCTCTCTCTGCAAGGAGGCGAAATCCTTTTCAAGATTAAGCGGGAACCCATTAATCAAAGGGGTGCTGCTACTTCTATATTAGCGGCTGCGGTGGGCGAGAGAAGAAGAAGAAGTAGAGAGGATTTGGCTGCTGCTTGCAGAGAGAGAGAGGTTAAAGCGCGCGCGTTTCCAGAGCTAAAAAGCATCAGTACTACTTCTTGGCAACCGCGGCTTGGCAGCATCCGGGCCGCTGGACCAGGTGCGAAAATCTCCCACACTCTTCGCCCCCGCCATATATACGCGTTCGTGCAAACACAAAGCTACATATACGTACAACGCCCCATGACTGTTTCTGTTTAGAAGGGCGACCCCTGACTCACCCCTCCGACATGTGTTTGTGTTTTATTTCTCGCCTCGCGCTCGCGTCTTTGACCGCCCTTTGAATTGATCGCCAGCGCGACACGCTCTTTGTCCAGAGAAATTCCCATTCTTCTCATGAATGGGATGGATTAAATTGAAGGATTGCCCCTGTTTGTCTGGGTATGCAGCCTGCTCGTCTTTCACGTAAAGCGGATTGCCTAGCTCTGGAAAGATGCTGGCTGTAATTTGTGGAAGTCGAAGAGGAAAAGAAAGAAAGAAAATCGATTCAATATTGTTTGTAATTGAGAAAAGTTTGAAAACTAAATTTTAGAATTTATCCTTTTCAATTAAAAACGCTAGAATCAGATTAAACTGGCCAATGTGATTTTGTAAAAAAAAATTATTTTTTAATATTGTTTTTTGGCCGCTTCAAGTTGTTTTACGCTTTAAATTTTTTCAATAAAACTGTTTATTTTATTTGTCTTGAGAGAAATGCTAGAGATACTGGCTGAAAGTTTTTGTCTCTCTAGCATTTCGAAGCCACTCACGTGAGAGCTAACCCTCAAAATGAGGCATGTCTTTTTCAGCGGTGCAACACGAGCGAGGTCCTCGCAAGCCCAAGAACAAGGGAGACCCGTCGGCCACAGGCACTTTGCTCTCGCCCATTCCCGAGTCCAACTCGAAGATGCCGACGCTCATGTTCCCGTCGCATCCGCCACCCCCGCCGCCGCCGGTGTCCCTCGGTGGCCACTTGACCTCGCTGCAGCCGCCGTCTAAGCCGGAGGCCACGCTCTCAATGCCCAGTCCTGAGACAGGGTACGCTGGGGCGGCCACTCCCATTTTCATGCCGCAACCACCTGGGCTGCTACAGATTTTGGTCTCGGCTGAAAAATGCCAGGTATGAGCTTTTTAATTGCACCCAAAATTTCAATCTGAATATTTAATTGTACTTATTAGAAAAAAAATTTATTTGAAAAAAAAAACTGCTTATTTAAGTTTTATAGACAGTAATAAAAAAAATTGTAGATTAACTTATTTCAATACTTTCTATGAAATTTATTACAAATATTTTTAAAAAGATATAAAACTCTCTTCAATTTTTCAAAATTCTACAATAAAAATAATGAAATTTATGATGATGACTTAATTTGAAATGGAGGCGAAGCAGAAGTATAAATTATTTTCATTAAAATAAAACTAAACTTATATTAAAATTAAATTAAATAGACTCTCTTTATTGGCAAATTCAAATCATTTATTACATTAGGAGCTATTTTTGGTAATTATTGGTAACTTGTAAATTTTAACTTTATTTACTTTACATACTTGCTTTTACTTATGCCAATAATGCGTTCTTAAAGACCCGATCTATTTTTTAATTTATAGAGATAATTTCTGCATTATTTCAACTTTTACTTTATCTCTAGAAAAGTTGCTGATTTAAAATAATAAATGCATAGATTTTAGTCGTTTGTGAAGTTTTTCGATTCAGCAGACGGCACAAACAACTCTCTCGACATGGGAGCACAAAATCAATTCCAGCTGCTGGAGCTGTAGAGTTTTTGCGCAGCATAGTCAAATCAGAGTGCAAACAAGGGTAGTTTGCCCCTCATTAGTGCAGCGGAGAGTCATATCGGCAGCGTGGTTGGTGCTCGGCATGGCTTTGTGCTCTGAGCAAACACGCCGCTGCATGGCTTTGCCGCCGGCGCCCGCATTTATACCGTCCCGATTCTTTTTGTGCGGCAATTTGTGCCGACGTGCCGCTTTTTGAACTGCAATTCACGCTCGGCGTAACCCCAAAGCTGGCGCGCTAATTAATAAACGCGAACAAAATTCCGCGCCGTCCGATTTGAAAAGCTTTGAACTATTGAATTAATAATTTAATTACCTTTAATATTTTAATCCAATTTCTCCAATCGAATGGAATAAAATTTAAATATTTACACTAGAAAATGTTACTTTTGACGGAATATTACCGCAGATTAACCTATTTTCGGTTTTGAATCATGTTTAATATACCATTTAGACTAGCAAAAAAGTTTTTTAAGTAAAAGTTATAAAAAAAACTTTAAATCTAAAACGTCTCAAAACTAGTCTTTTTTTGCATGAAAATGCCTAAATAAAGTCTCATGCAATATTTTGAATAAGAATCATACGAGAATTTCAAACCAGTGATTTTGTAGAAAATTAAATAAAACCAAGAACATTTTTCACCTGTCGAACAATCTATGTTTCGTAAAATTTAATTTTCATGCATTATTTCTATCATATAATATTTTATAGGAGTACATTTGGAGCGCCAAAGGGGTGCCGCCGTCCGACTCGGAACGGATGAGTCTTCTGCACCCGAGTCCCCTGCCGCTGCCCTTGACGCCCACGTGGGAAGTTTTGCAGGTATGGGGTTTTCTCTGACTCGGTTTTGCTTGGTCGTCGCGATTGGCTGCCGGCCTGCACGGGGCACGCACCCTTTCTTGACTTTGTAGCTTCGGGGGTGGGCTCGAGCGGCTTTGCCCGCCAGCCAATGACGCGCGCCAATCGCGCGAGTGATTTCAATGTTGGAACCGCAAAAGCTAAGTTTATTTAAAAAATAATTTTGTCATAGGAAACCACGGCCAGGCTTCTTTTCATGGCTGTCCGATGGGTGCGTTGTTTGGCGCCCTTCCAGACTCTTTCAAAAAGAGACCAGGTATGAAAATTATTTTGAGATTTTTTTAGAAGTTTATTCCAAAATGTGAAATTCGAACAATTTATATTATGGATTAAAATATGTAGACCCGCAAAAAGTATTAAATTTGAACGCTGGATAAGAATTAAAATATTATAATTATTTCTCCTAAAATGGAATATACTTGCCAAATTTTTAAACTATTTTTCCTTAAAATCCTCTTAAATTGGTAATAAAAAATATGTAATTTTTGTTGCAGCTCCTTCTATTGCAAGAGTCTTGGAAAGAACTTTTCCTCTTGCACTTGGCGCAGTGGTCGATACCGTGGGACCTCTCAGCTTTGCTAAACTGCAGCAAAGCGAGAGAGCGCATTCCCAACGACGAGTTGACAAACATAGAACTTAACACTATTCAGGTCCGTATTTTTTGTCCATTTTCTCTTATGAACTTAATATATAGAGTTTTCCATTTAATTACATAAATTAACTATTTTGAAATATGAAAATAATATATTCAACTCGATTTTTTTTAATAGGAAATCTTAGGGCGATTTCGTCAACTTTCTCCGGATGGCAGCGAGTGCGGCTGCATGAAAGCTGTTATCCTTTTCACTCCTGGTAAAAAAAAAAATATATTATTTAATTAAATGATCAAAAGTTTGAAGCTGCCTATTTTATACAGGTTTTTTTTAATGAATATTAATTTTTTTTTAGAAACTCCTGGCTTGTGTGACGTGCGGCCTGTTGAGATGCTGCAGGACCAGGCGCAGTGCATCTTAGGCGACTACGTTCGTGGCCGCTACCCCCGTCAGCCGACCCGTTTCGGCCGCCTGCTCCTTTTGCTGCCCAGTTTGAGAGCAGTTCGGGCAGCGACCATTGAGCAGCTTTTTTTCCGTGATACCATTGGCGAGATTCCCATTCAGCGCCTGCTCGGCGACATGTACCACATGGAAAAATACTCATGAAGTGGTCCACAATTTATACCAAAGATAAATTTCACCAATAATAATTAGAAGAAGAAAAATGTTGAAAATCAATCTGATGACAAACTGTTCAGCAACTTCTCTATTGTATACGAACTCTAATCATCTTGTTGTTGAAACTTGAAAAAAAAGGAAAAATGTAAAATAATAGTCACTATTATGATCTCATTTGCATTATTAATTTTAGTTATTGTGTAAGATTTTAGAATAAATGTTGATAAATGTATATCATATTAAATGTGCTACCATTTACAACAAAACGCGATCTCTGCAAATTTTTTGAATATGAACTCTTAAACTACACTGAATGGATACTTATTGTGATGGGATTACATGGAAATACAATAAAACCAATAAACTGATCTCAAATTAATAGTATTTTCTTTTTAAACTATACAAACTTGACCAACAGAATATACTTATTTTCTCAAGGATGACAAAAAGAGAAACTCTGAGCAATTTAAAATTATTTTTTAAGCAAAATTATAATCCATACTCTTAAAATTTTCACCACCAAAATTCATTCAATTATATTCAAATTTAACAGGTGACGAATGAATAAATAAGTTACATGAACAGGAAATTATCAAACTCCATCACTGTTGATGATCAATGGACCAGAGTTCAGGAAGGAATTGGGGTCTCATGTGCTGCAGAAAGTGAGATCTCCACAGTTGCTCCAGTTTGAATATTCCATTTGGCGCTTCCCTCGATTGAAAGTGCTGAACTACAAGGTAGCCGTGCGATTTGTAATCATCATTTTCAGAGCTTAAAATAAGACACACAAATTAAATAGACATTAAATCAATTTTTAAATGAACTAACCTGCTATTTATTTCACTAGCCATTTTCAAATGCTCTTCAGTCAATTCCATCTCCGAAACTCCGAAGTGTTCAGCGATAACACACCTAAGTTCTGTTACTTTAAGGAGAGGTATTTTGTCTACGTGCTCTTTTGATTTCGTCAAAGCTCGACCTGCAGACCTGACCTAAAAATATGCCAAAAATGACATTATCAACAACATAAAATAATTTGAGTTTGAATACCTTGTTCAACTTATGGTCGTATGTGAAAGGAGAATGATTTTTGGAAACGATAGGTGCGTTGCATTTATCAGCCAGGTTCTTTCTCAGATTTATTTGTATAGAGTCAAGATTAATGTTGCACCTCAAGCACAGTATTAGGACGTCATGAGATTTGTGATCCTTTTCCCTTTCTAAGAGGATGAATTAAAAAATTAAAATATAATAAGGAATTTTTATGTACCTGGAAAATGCATTTTGTACTCGCGAGGGACGATGCATTTTTTAACGTGGTTGCTCTCACTGCCGCAAACAACACAAATGTTTTGTTTGATCGAAGCGTAATAGTTTCGGCCATCCTTGCCACTTCTGTCTTTTGGTTCGAACAATAATTTCACTGTCAAGGATGCTCCATTAACATTTTCAACGACTTCGGCCAGACTGCAGCTTAAATACCTATTAAAAAATGGTTCATTTGATTGTAAAATTAAGAAATTCAAACTGACCACTCAGCTTTGCTTCTTTGGCAAGTGGCCAAGATTTCATTATCCGGGGCCAAAAGTACACAATTGTCATAGATGGGATTTTTAGCAACAGGAAAAGCATTCGTACTCATCTTCCTTTTTAATACTTGTGGGTTGCTCGGATTTGAAGGTTGAGAAGAACTTTTGAGACTTTGTCTCTTTGGTCTGGAAAATAATTAAATTTTCTTTTACCAAACAATTATTTCTTAAAAAATTTTACATCACATCTATGATGTGGTCACAACTGGTCGCAACTTCATGCCAGGACTTTTCAGTTCTCTTAATTTTTAAAATAGACTCTTCATGCAAGCCAGTGACTTTGGAAAAAATTAATGTAGACACCAGGACATCATGAGCTGCATACAAAGTCTAAGCACAATTTATATCTCAAAATTAGTCTGAAAAGAAAAGTGCCAAACTTTTCAAACCTGCTCTTCCGAAAGTTCTTCAGCGGCCCAATCCGAACAGGATATGCGTTTTTTCTTTTGCATTTTTACCCCTAGAACTGTTTGTGCCAACTGAGCAAGGCCAGATTCGTCTTTGCACAACGCCCTCAAATCAAGACAGCCTCTGACGACTAAATTGTGGTCCTGGCCCAAGAGCATGGCGTCACTCTGCGTCGAAACTCCAATTTTCAAAATAGATGAGTCTCTCAAAACCACCTGATTTAAGTTTTATTAAAAATTTTGAACTTCATTTTTTATTTCTGCTTCTTACTTTTACATCCTCAGGTAAAAATCCAATTTTGTTCAATCGGAACAGGGCACACGTTCCACTTGGGGTGGCCAACTGAAGGAGAGCCACAGGGTTTCTTCGCTGGCCTTTCACCTTATTTGGAACCCATTCGCAGTCAAATCCAACATAGCGCAACTCTTTGCATTCACTGGAAAATATTATCAAAAAATTATAAAGCATTATATAATTATACAAAAATACATACAATAAACTTGTTGATATTTTTTTTTATCAAATATAATCAAATTATGACAAATTAGATTCTCTTATTTATATTTTCTTATATTTGGGAATAAAAATATATTTATGATTAAAATTTATTAAAAAAAAATGTAATGGGTTTTCTCGACCCAATGTCTCACTTTAAAATAGTTTTGACAACTTCGGAGCACTCTTTCCTCGACTCGACAACAATGATTTGCGAAGCTCTCAGTGTGTATTTGGTCTTGAACCACGACAGCGACGCCCTGTACACTTTACTCAATTTGCTTCCGCCAAAGAAATAAGTAAAACCAGCCATTCCAACAGCGGCGATCAGAGCAATTTTGTAAGTTGAAATTTCACTTCTTGCTGTCGTCGTCATTGTCAACAGGTTTGTGCAGTTTTTTTAACTGAAACAGTGGAAAATTGCGCATATTAAAACCGAATTCCTTATTCAAGAAAATAATTTATATGTAGAACTTAAACGATTACAAATTCCAAAAAGGAAGGAAAAGAAAATTTCTGCTCACAGCATCCTACAAAAATCCTGAGCATGGTAAGCATGGTTTTATTTACATCTGGATAAGTGGGCGTGGTTAAATCTGAAAGGGACATTCAAGAGACATCTACAGGTTTAAAACTGAAACAAAAATTGAAATCCTTTATTTTGTGATTAGTGTTTGTATTATTTTGATAGGCCCAATGTATGTTATCTTTTTGAATTGGAAACACCTGCGAAAATCTGGTTTCCATTGCTATCTCTCGATTTGTCACGTCTGCTAAAATTTCTATCCTTAAGCATAATTGCCGTTCTAGATCGATTTGTAAATAATCAGCGTTGCTATTGATAAAAGCATGTCATTTATTTTTCCTCTCGAGCTCCCATAAAATTATTGCCTTGAACCCTCCAATAGTCGTACATATCCCCGTTTAAAAGAAAATAAATATACGACTAGCAAAACTAATAATTCTCATTCATTGACGTTTCTGCAGTTAGAGAACATGCTCAGCCTCCACACCTGTTCCGCCTTGACCAAGATCAACTCTGCTGGCGCGTGCACCGTCCGGCGAAACCTGAGCCGCTTATCTGCAGCCGGCAGAAAACTTCTCAAGAGTTCAAATAATAAGTTGGCGTTATCAGCCGATAAGGTGTGCTCCTCGGCCAGCTTCCACTCGTCCGCTGCGTCCAACATGCGTTTCGTCCAGTTCCAGTCGGTCAACGGAGGGCCTCAACGTCTTGGTGTCCAACTCAGCCAGGACGGGGACATCATCGACGTCAGCGGCGTCAACTCGTCCATTCCCAACAGCCTGGTCAAATTCCTCCAGGCTGGACCTGCTCACCATGAAAAGGCCAAGAGGTTCTAAAATTTTATTTGGATTTAATAATAAAAAATATAAAATTACGTAACAAATTTTAGATTCAATTTTTTAAAGCAATCTTTATTGAGGAATTAAATTATATGTTTATTTAAAATATGTATTTTCAATTTATTAAAATAACATTTTTGCTTTTAATTTAAATCATCAGGTTTTTCTGATTTTCTTTTTACTTTCTTTCCTTCTAGGATTGTTGCCCAAGGCCAGTCGGTTGTTTCACTCTCAGAGGTCAAACTGCTGCCCCCAATCACTAGGCCTGACAAAGTAGTCTGTGTCGGACTCAACTACAGAGATCATTGTGAAGAGCAAAACAAGCCCGTGCCTACCGAGCCTGTTTTCTTCAGCAAGTTTTCCAGCGTCATTGTCGGCCCTAACGATGACGTCAAATACCCAAAGGACATCACAAAAGTACAATTTAAAAAAAAATTGTCTTATTAGAAACAGATTTAACGTTTATTTTGATCAGTGTTTAGATTGGGAGGTCGAGTTGGCGGTAGTGATTGGCACCAAGGGCAAGAACATCCGACAGGGTAATTCCATGGACCACGTTTTTGGCTTCACGGTGGCCCAGGACATCACGGCTCGTGACTGGCAAAAAGGCCACAATGGTGGTCAATGGCTGCTTGGCAAATCGATGGACACCTTCTGCCCGATGGGCCCTTGCGTCATCACCAAGGAGGCCATTCCTGACCCCCATGACCTGGTGTTGAGGAGCTGGGTCAATGGAGAGCAGAAACAACAGGGCAACAGCTCAAACCTGGTTTTTAAGATTGATTTCCTGGTTTCCTACCTTTCAAAGTACAATTTTTGAAAAATCAGTGAAACATAAAGAAATTTTAAATTTTTGTTAATTTAGCTTTGTGACCTTGCTGCCTGGTGACGTCATCCTGACTGGAACTCCGTCAGGCGTGGGCGTATTTAGAAAGCCCCCGCAGTACTTAAAGCCCGGAGATGTTGTCGAGAGCGAGATCGAGGGCATTGGAAGACTGAGAAACACTATCGTCTGAAGTTCTCAATCAAAACTGAACGCCATAATTTGCTCCGAGAGTACAAGTCACTGTATTTTGAGCAATCAATGTGACAAAAGTTGATTAATTAGGATAATGCACTTATAAATTCCGAATCACTGCTTGTTGATACTTGTACCTAACTTTTGTTTAAAAAAAAACAACAGGGTTATATAATTACTTGTTCCAATCTGCATTTACAAACAACAATTTAAGGGGTTGGTCAAGCAGCTGCATAAAAATGGGTCTAGCAATACTCTTGTATCTCGGTTATATTAAATATTAGCCCACATAAACTATGAGTTCTTGGAAATTTAAAGAACTGAACTGTGTGTGGTATGACTATGGTTGAGTTTTTTAAAAATAGAAAATTTTTACTGACCACTTGAAGAAAAAGAAAACTGCTCGACACGCTGATTCTGACATTGTATGATGTGAAATTTCTAATATGTTTATAATTGCTGTACGCAACGCAGATTTTCAGAATGAGCTGCTGCTTGAAGTATTAAAAAAATGAATTTTCCATTACGCTCTTACAATTCAAAATGTTAATTTATTATCGGGATGTTTAAAAAAGCAGTATTTGGAAATTTTTAATTTTTTGGTCAAATAAACACCAATAATTTTTGTAATTATCGGTAACTGCACTAATTATAAACAAGCCAAAATTATTTTCCTATAGCAGCAATAAATTAAAATGATATTAAGCAATTTTGTGTTTCTGTTTGAGAGACAAAGAGAACCTTGGTTGTTATCTTATTATTTGCTTTATTACAGAGTAATCATCACATTGTAGACTCCCGTGTGGCGGAGTAGCAAGGCAACCATTTAATACCTACGAAAAACAAGGAGTTTGTAGAAAAATTATCCATACCTAACCAAACACTATGTAACATAATAAATAGGATTCTCTTGTAATAATTTGAAGATTCTCGCCGGACTTTGAATTTGAGAAAAATAAACAAGTTCATTCACATGGGAAATTGGGCCTCAACTTAAAACAAGGGAATTCACACTTGACAATATATGGAATTTTTAATTCAGAAGGTGAAGATTACGACTCGCTGATGTCAATCTTTGAAAAATCACAAGCAACACGTAATAATTGCAGGCCGTTGATTCTCTCCAGCTTAGCCACTGCTCCTGGTCACTACGTATTGCACAACTAAGCCGAACAACACAACACTAACGAATATAACTAGGTTGGTGATAAATGCTTGCAGGGGGCTTTGTCCGCCACCCCTCAGTTCTGGTCTGCTTCCTGTGGAGGAGTTGCTATTGTTCAGACTGCTATTGGACCTGTTCTGGATCTGGTCGTCTGTAGTGCCATTACTAGTAGACTTGGAAGCTGCTTCTGCTCGTTGTTTCAACTCTTCCTTGATTTCCTATAATTTTAAAATTTAATTAAATTAGGTAGATTGAGATACCAGACACCTTAATATACAATTATTGAAAGCGAAAATCTTTAAAATGAAATTTTATACAAGACCATTATTCTGAATCGTCATATTTATTTTACGATTCTTTAAGATCATTTTTCAATGAGAAACTTACCTCAACTGTTTCTAAAAACAATGAGCAAAAAATCTTGTTCTTCAGGTTGAAATCTAAGCTCTCATGTGCAAGTCGTCGTCTCTCCGAGTCGGGCATCTCAATGCTACCTAACGTCGGACTTTTCTCAGCCTGCAATTTAAGAAATACACATAATTGTTCCTTATTTTAACAAATGTGAAATTACCATGAAACTAAGCAGTCCTGTGAGAATGGTGGAGACACTCCAAGCTGGATTCCAAGTGTCAGGATGGTAATCACTAATCGACAGGCATAACCTAACATTTGTCTTGAACCTGCCAACTCGGACAATTAATTTATTTCATTGGTTAAAATAAGTTTAACGAATTTTCACCTTCCATTAGGGGTGATCATGTAGATACTGGGGGGCTTGTAAGGGAAATCTGGGGGAAAGACCAGCTTTCCGTGATATTTTCCGCCTGTGTATGGCGTATTCTCTGGACCAGTGACAACGTAGTGCCTGCAATCGATTAAATAAATTCAAAGTGAGATTTTTTTAATATTTAATTTCACCATTCTAGGATATTTGAAGGCAATGGTTCAGCAACCACGTAGGGAACAGGGTCTTTTTTGAGCCGGATGTAGTCTTGCCTCAGTCTGTCAGTAGCACTGTTGGTTTTCTTTCTCGATGTCATGATGGTTTGCACTACAACTGGAATATTTACTTAGATGGCAATAATATAAAAATAATAATTAATTTAAATAATTTTTACCCACCTGTGAATCTGATTTAAGACAAAAGGCAGAACTAAAGAGGACAGCAGACGGACATTCAAATCTGGACCATCTTGTTGTTGACGAGCTGCAAAAAAGCAAGGAGAGTTAAAAGTCGCGATCTTGCCAATGAGGGCATTAATGATCGAAGTAAAATGCAAAGAAAAGTCAGCAACTTTCTTTTGCCATGTATGTGTGTGCGATTTGTGGGACGGACGAGACGAGATAACCGTAATTAGAGAAAATGTGCCACTGCCGTCAGCGGAAAATCGCACGGCGACCTTTGCGAATCGGACGTCCTGCGAGCCGGTGACACCCGCGCTCACACCGATTGCTCACCTTCGTAAGCCCCTTGACGTCTTCAGCTCGCGATTTATACCCGATTTATGAGGAATTAATTTAAATGGACACATAAACAATACGCATTTAGGAATTCGCTAGTCACACCTCCAAGATACGTAACATCATCTGCTTCCCAACCTTCAACGGTTCTTGCAAGAATTCACAGATGGCGGCAGTTTCAAACACGAAGAGCCTTCAAGGTCGAACTTGCAGTGTTGCTTTTTGCGCCAGGTGTCTCTGCCAACCATTTAAACGGCAACATAACAAAGTAAAACTGTTTAATTATTGATTTTTCATGATTACATTAATGGAAAAAATAACTGAATCACCATATAAAGCGTTTCAAAACATTATTTTTAAACTTTATAAGTGTTCAAATTAGAAAATAATCTTATTTATTTGATTTGAAATAGTCCGATCGATACCGGTTAGGTTGGTGGTGAATACTATCCCACCCAACGTTCCACCCACTCTCGTTCCATGTTGTTTGTTGTAGTAGGAGTGGAGAGCCGAGAGATAATTTTGTTTTCCTCCCTTATTTTGTGTGAAATTCGGCCGCGTTGTCCACGAACCCGTCGGCAAAAGCGCACCGGACGAATTTCGGACGAGATGGAACGGTGATTTCGACTTTGGCCTCACGTCCGTCGCGTAGAATCGCGCTCCCGTGGAGCCGTCGTCTCGCCCGAGCTTGAGGTAAGACGTGACGATGGACACCGTCGCTTGTTTGACAACTGTGTTTTAATTTGATCATTATTCGGCCGGTTCGGTTCCTAGGGTGGCTGGTGCGTTCGGATTTGTCACCGAGGGGGATGAAAATCGCGATGGGGGGATGTTTTACCTGAAAATTGGCTGGTTTCGGGATAATTCACACCTCTCCGAAGTGCACCTGGACCTGAAGGAGGTCGCAATTTGCATGATTATGACACTTGGTCGCTGATTTGAGTTAATCTGTTTCGAAAGTGAAAAGGTGTTAAAAGGTTATTAAGTGGAATGGCCAGCGGCTAGGCTTATATCTAGGAAATTAAATGTTAAATTGATCAACTCTCAAATTTATTAACAAATAAGAAAAGAAAAATACTAACGAGGAATGTATATTATTTTATTTTAAATAGGATTTTTAATTTTCTTGTTAAAAGCTAATATTATGATTGTAAGGCAGATTTTTCAATGTTTTTTAACCATTTTTAGGTCAATTGAATAGTTTCAAAGCGCCTTTCAAGTTTTATCAATTAAAATGAGGTGAAATCACTGCGGAATTTGATTAAAAATTCACCGGTTAGAACATTTGCTGCACAGCTTTTCCCTGTGGAATTTTCTGAAAGTAAATCACGCCAGCGGAATAATTCAACAAAGTGCATTATTTTCTTTCTGCCCTGCACAAATCCAAGAAAGCAGTTTTCCGACTCGCCAAACCCGCTTTTGCAGCAAAAAAGCTCGGCCGTCTGTTTCTCCTTCTCTTTCCTCTCTCCACGAAAGTGTAAACGGACAACAAGAGCGGCCTTGCTCGAGGCCATCGCTTTGCTCGCAATAATTATTCTTTGTACTTTTGAAAAAGTAAAAAGAGATAATAATTTTTTTGCTCATTTTGACGCGTGGGATTTTTTTCAAAGGAGGAAGAAGAAGAAGTTTGCTACTTTCGGTGCGAAATTTATTTGTGCCCTCAAGGAGAGCTGCCGACATTTTAATTGGCGATGCAGGAAGGAAAGTTGCGGGCCGATCGATGATTAAATTGCAGACTGCGAGGCTTGCTGATGGATTGATAAGCCTTTCCGATCGTGATGGATTGTGTGTTTCGCCGCCGCGCTCGATAAGATTCCCATAACTTCTGCAAGACGCAAAACGTCCTCTGTGACTCATTTTGATTACTCTGGTATTTTTTTATTATTTTATGATGGAAACAGATTTGCCCCGGACACGCCTTTCTGATTCACAAATGCTTTTATTATTTAGTTCCACGAAAATTTTCAGTTAGTTTGTCTCAGCGTGAAGGAAAAATCATGAATTTAGGAAAAAAACAATTTAATAGACGAAAATTGTAAAATTTTCGTATACATAAAAAATTAATTACAATTTTACTAATTATCAGCTAATTATTCAAAAATAAACTGAAATTATTTGGTGCAAATTTCAGTTATTTTCGCCCAAGGACCAGAAAATACTGAGCATTTGGAAAAAATTTTAAAAACTTTTATGCATAGAAAACTGTAAAACGTACCTAAATTTTTTCATTTTTTTGTTGCTTATTTTTTTCTACCAAATTCTACAAAAATTTCAATCAATTTTGTTAGGGAAACAAAAAATTTTCGGGCAAAATGTCAACACCACTATGAGGAATTTTGCTAAAATTAAAATTTTAAGTTAAATTTAGTAATAGTAATATCATCAGTAAATTTAATAAAATCAAATTTTACAAGGTTCAGGGTACATGATGTTAATTTTTTTTTTTTTCATTTTCCACCCTTTAAAACTCGCGATATCAAAAATATTGTAAAATTAGGCAGTTTTCCTCTCAAAAATTCCTCTAGTACTTCCTGATCATTTCAAAAACTAAATAATTCAAATTTATATTTCCTTTTAACCATCTTCGAGTATTAATTATTTTCCATCTTCAGCCAATGTGTCAAGCATCCTGTGAACCAATTCTTGAATGAATTAGGGTCGCCGCTGACAAAAGACGCTCTCCGAACATTATTCCCATTTTGACACAGAAAAGACTCCTTTCTTTGTTGCTTTCGAATGACAAATAATAACAAGACTGACGGAAAACCACCGGCTGATGAAGCAATCGATTTCCGATGCTCGTCGCCTGATTAGCATTGCAAATCCGCCGCGTTTTAAGTAAAGACGCGACTCGAGATTGAGACGCCGGTCCTCATGCATAATTCCAATTATGTTGGCCCTAGAATCAACAATGAATCGTCGTCCCAAGTCGACAATATAATGCCAAGCAGATGTTGACGATCCGTGTTTATCCTGAAGCGTGTGAACTTGCCAGTTAAATTATAATTAACAAATGACAGCGACAGCTGTGGGCAGACCGCAGACTGCGCGGTGACGACGACGCTCTTGCTCGTTTCGCAGCCGATTTTCAAGGCCGACCAATTGCTAAATTGCCGCGTATAAAAGATTTGATTCCCCAAATTGCGGCGGCAGAGTTGTGTGCGGCCAATTTGAAATGATGCTGCTCCAATTACGGCCATCATGTAACACGTACGTCTATAAAAATGAAACTCTTCCGTCATCCGACTGAATGGGACAATCGTTTCTGTCAATTTGATCCTATCTGAATTTTAAATTTAAATCAATTTTTATTTTGTTATTTGCAGTGTGAGATGAAAATTTCCATGTATTTTAATAAAACTGAGCTGAAATTGATTAATTCGCCAATACAAGCGCATTTCTAAGAACATAATTTTATTTATAAAAAAATTTCCAATAAAAATTGTCCTTGACAAAAAAGAGAATGGGTCGCCGTTATTCCTTCGAATTCATTTTTCCCACTAAAACCATTACTCTTAAATTGAAAAAATCATGAATTTTTAATTATTTTGTTTCAATTGTCTGAAATACAAATTCCCCTAAAAAGATTTTTTTATTATTTAAAAAAAATTGTGCTTCTTAAGTCCAGTTGATTGTAAGCCACTCATTTTATTAGTCACCGTGTTAATTTAAATTAGTTCATCATATTCCAAGTCATTCCAAATTATAAATTACTTGAACAATTTCGTTCTTTGTATAGTTTGAGCAGCTTAAAAATGTTTGGTACTATTGACTTTTGCTTCAAAGCTATAAAATTGTAAAATGAATTATATTTTTTTGATGAAGATCAAATTGAACCCTATTTTCATGCTTTTTCATTTATGAACTCTACTTTTCTGATAAATATTTGGTCATTTTATTGTAGTATTATTGGAAGATTTCAATCAATAATAAATGTATAATATAAATATAACTTTTGGACTACAAGAGAACTTTGAAAGCCAAGCACTGTCATAAAATATAAAACTTTTCTCCAGTAACATGCGTTCACTTTTCCTATTACAAGCGAAAAAAACTTGTCTGGCTTGCCTCCCCGAACCTTGATCCCGAGCGACCTGCCAAACGTCTTCCGAACTTCCTCCATATCTCACAGTCAAAGTCAAACACCTACTTTAATTATTTGCGCTAAAAATTCCTCTTGCTCTTGTCGAGCATGAATAATGACTGTAATTGCGAAAAACGGTGAGCCTCTTTGAAAAAAGCTCCTTTTAATTGCTCTCGAGTATACTTTGAAGTCCTTTTCGTAATTACAAAAGTCGGGCTGAAGGGAATAAAGAAAGAAGGCAAGTCGAGGGCACCAAATTCCCAGCTAATCTTGTCTATTTCCACTCGGTAGTACTTTATCAGCGCTTTTTTTTTTTAACCCGTAGCAGAGCCTCTATCACGTTTACAAAGGAGCACCAGTCAAATCCCGAAAGGAGTAGAATTGAATTGAAAATTTATTTATTGTGATTTAAATGAATGCATCGATTTATAAGATTTTTATGTGTTAAAATTAACAATTTTTGTATATTAAAAGTTGGATAAACCAATTCCAAGTTTCCTATTATTTTCAATGAAATTAAACTTCATCTTAATAAAATAAACAAGATCTAGATAAGAACGAATCATGAACATTCTGTTTGAATCGTAATTATTTTTCAATACTTTTTTGGATAAAATCTGGGCCCTTATTTTCGAGCTTAATCGGGCAATCCGAGCGTACGTCGGTAAATCGCACCCCGAGCGTCCATTTGTTCTGTATCGACTTTCTCGGCTGACAGAGGTTATAATTACCTCCAGACAGACCTGCTGAAAGCGAGGGTGCTGCTTTTTTCGTTCCTCCTTTGCCTCATCTCCCCCAAAGCTCGCTCGACGTTTGTTGTTTTCCTCGACGCACATTCAAAACACATGCAGATGGATATATACAGAAATGTGTTTGAGACTCTTGTCTCTCCCCCCATTCGAAAAAATGCGTATACCCTGTTTAAAAAAAAAAGAAAGAACCTCTCGTAAACGCACTCTCGTTTATATTATACTAAAACGCTTTTTGTTTTGTTTCTTTTCGCAGAGAGAAGGGAAAGAAATGGCGCTGCGTTGCCGATTAGTGCCTCAAATCTGCCTGCTGCTGGTGCTCGTCAACCGACTGCACGCTGACGGTGAGTTTCTTCAATACACAGTCATGCATGTGAATAAATTAAGACCTCCGAGTTCTCCCTCGCAGAGGAATTAACTGCGCCGAGTGAGAGATGCGCACCCTCGTGAATCGGGCCAATGAATTTTTAATTGAGCTCGGCGACGAGTACTCTGATTATTTATCGCTGTTTGAGAGTTAATTTTGCGTGCACTCGAGGGAGACAACGGCCGCTGATTTATACGAGTTCATGAAAAGGGGTCTCTCTGCATTTCGATCAATGACTCGCGCCTTTCCAAGCCACAATTTACCTTGCGAGTTAATTCAACTCACGATCAATAAGAGAAGATTGATTTTTTTTTGTGCTAACTTAAACTGATATTGAATTTTAAATTTTTGAATTGCTTTTTAAATAAATTTGATGTCTAGAATTAAACTTTTTGGATAAAATTGAAAACAAGTTGCTTCTTCACCACCGACAAAGTTGCTTCTTATTAGAAAAAATAATATAAAATATCCAGAAATTTCCAGTAGCTATTGTTTACTTAATTATCAATTAATTGGAAGTTCTTTATTTATTCAATGAACATCAATAGAGGATGCGGTGGAAGATTAATATTTTTAAATTTAATTTAATAAAATATCGGAAAAAATTAAAATTTAGTTGACCTGAAATTTGTTCCAATGGTGTTGATTAATAAATTTGAAGCTATAGATTATTGTGGAAAATATCCAACATTTTCTACAAGTAGCTGAATAAGTTTGCACGACTTTGGTAATATGAGATTTTTTCCTTAATTCTATGTTTGAGTTTTCCAAAATAAATTATTTTTAATTTTTAGTTTTATTCCATCTAGAAGTAATTCGCATTTAATATTTTGTGTTACATGCTGTTTGGTGTTACATACTACTGATGGTTTTGATGAGCATGAATTTGATATCAAAGTTTTGACAGCTTTGTATTATCTACATAAAATTTATCCAACTTTGGTTGAATCTGGTTATGTTGTCATCAGTTGCCATGTTAAACAAAAACAACACCAGAACTTTTCCAGACTGCAAATCAAATTGGCTTATTATTTTCTTACCCAATTTGATTATTGTTTTATGGAATAATTTTCAGGGATTTTGCTTTCAATATCCGTCCATGTTTTCGGTTTTCCTAATTTTCATTTTGCTTTACTTTGAAACGCGCTCGTGATTTCAGTTCGGTAATGAGGATTACCCGCGAGACGCATCCTACACAGTTTACTTTATAACTCGTATCTTTAATTTGGTGCGTGCGTCACAAAGTTTTAATAATTCCATCCTAACGTAATCCTCCGGCCGTAATCTTGAGTTACGCGCCGCTGGCGCTCTCTTTTATAAATAAGTACATATTTTCCAGCCTGCCTTTGTCAGCCCGAAAGCGCATTACCGAAATGCTTGCTGTGTGTTTTGCCAGCAACTTTCATCTTACACACTCCCTATATGCAAACTGGCAGCAGCTCTCGAGTTAAATTTTAATCAGATTCTTGACGGCTGCAAAGGGCTGCACAAAAACGCACCGCGCTCTGTCACGGCACCGGCTCGTCCGCGTCGTTCTTATTATGAATGAGCACGGATGGATTTTAATGGAATGCGCGCTCGCTTCGTGAAGTTATTACGACATGACATGAATTTTCTGGCCAGCCGTGCTAGGTGCTGAATGAATATAAATAAATAAATATGCCCGCCTAATTGGATATCGGTTCGAATCGCGGCGTTTATGGCCCTTGGGCATGAAACCCCCTTTTTCGTTATCATGCATCATTTCATTTTTCCAGCGATAAATTCTGCGATTTACCGAGTCGTAATAAATTTCACATTTGTTTTAGAAGGCATTTTTGTGAAAAAGCCCAAGGACCTGTCTGTTCGCAACGGGGGCATTGCCACTTTCTACTGTCAAACGCAGCCCAACATTGAAATACACTGGCGGAAAAACGGCAAGAAAATCAACCCAACACAGGTGAAAAGCCCTTTTGATTTAAGTTGATAAATTTTTAACGCTTTATTTCAGTCGAGGTACCAAACGTACTCTGATCTTGCGACTGGCCATTCGATTCTCCGAATTCAGCCAGCAAAACACGCCCGAGACGACGCCAGCTATGAATGTGTGGCGGACAACGGTGCAAAGGAGGACGTTGTTGACGCTGTCCTGACTGTTTTTGATAGTGCGTTGTTTTTTTGGTAACACCGAGGCTTGATATTTAACGCTTTTGCTGGAATTCCAGGCGATGAGCCGAAAGGATTTCCTAGGATTACTCAGGTTTCCTCGGCGTCTAAAGTCGTTGAGCTTGGGCAAAATACGGCTCTGACATGTGAGGCGACTGGAGACCCTAAGCCTCACATAGTGTGGCTCAAAAACATGACTCCGATCAACTACACGAGCAACGTTTTCAAGACAAATGATGGTCTGAGCTTTGCATCTTTTCTTTAAATAAATCACTTACAGATTCTTTTCAGGCTCTTTGCATATCCTCAATAGTGAGGAGGACAACCAGGGCAAATACGAGTGCATGGCTGAAAACAATTTGGGCACTGAGCATTCCACTACAATCACACTTTATGTGAAAAGTATGTTTCTCCTGGGTTTTTTTTAACAAGGACTCGAATTCTATATAATTTTTTAGTTCGTCGAGTTGCCCCCACATTTTCTATTCCACCACCAGCAGTTCAAGAGATCATGCTAGGAGCACCTCTCACACTAAACTGTGTGGCTGTTGGTTCACCCATGCCTAGTGTCAAATGGAGAAAGGCAGAGTCGATCGACCTGACCCCGGAGGACAATATTCCAATAGGAAGAAACGTCCTCGAGTTGAAAGAGGTTAAAGAGACTGCCAACTACACTTGCATTGCTGTCAGCCCAATAGGAACCATTGAAGCTCGCACCTTAGTAAAAGTTCAAGGTACGTTTTTTTTGCATTTCCTACTTTAGGTATCTAATAATAAACCATTGCCAGCTCTGCCCAGTCCGCCTGTTGACGTAACAATTTCGGACGTGACTGCCACTTCAGTGCGTCTGTCGTGGTCACACCCTGAGAGGGTCGACATCCGCTACTACAACATTGAATACAGAACGAGAGGTTCCGAGTACGTCTTGGAAACCATCAACGGAATCAACACCTTGTACTACACCGTACGTGGCTTGAGTCCGTACACAGAATATGAATTTTTGGTGACTGCCAACAATGATGTGGGGCGAGGCCCTCCTTCGTCTCCAGCTATCATCACCACTGGAGAAACTGGTTAGTTAGATATTTTGAATTTTATCCACTAATGTCTATAAACAATGTAATTGAACGCCACATTTTCTTTCTAGCCGAAACTTCCATGGGAGGGAATAGTAAGTGAAAACAGACATTATGTTTGTAAGGTTTTATAGCTTTTTACACCTACTAAATGTATTTTTAATTTCACTCAAGCACACCTTGGATTGGATTTATTTGCAGCACACTAATTTTGATTTAATTTTTTTGATTCATTCATATTTGGCTGAACTTTCACTTGATTTTGGTTCATCTAAAATTTTGGCACTTAATTGCAGTAATGAGAATTTTATCAGACTGTAGGTTGTTGTGGTTTTTTTTGTTTTCACATCTTATCGGCATGGATTCCTTGCTGTCATCACCAATAAAAAGTGTGTTCAGTTGCTAAATTGTCTAACCTTTCAGAACCTGGCTCTGCTCCATGGAACATTTTGCCCAGGCCACTCAGCTCGAGCACCATGGTCGTCCAGTGGGATGAGCCTGAAATGCCAAATGGCCAAGTTACAGTACGTTATTATTGCATTATGAAATTGCTGTTAGTTTTTAATTTGAATTTTGTATTCAGGGCTACAAAGTGTATTACACTTCAAATCCCAACATTCCAATTTCGTCGTGGGAGTTCCAAATGGTTGACAACAACAAGCTGACAACCATCAGTGACCTCATCCCATACACAATTTACACTATACGAGTGCAGGCGTACACAAGTGTCGGGCCTGGCCCCATGTCTGCACCAGTGCAAGTTAAAACCCAGCAAGGAGGTAATTTACAAATCAAATTCTGAATTATTTTAAATAACAAATTTTTGTTTCCTTTTATATAGTGCCTGGCCAGCCACATAACTTGGAAGCCAAAGAGATTGACGAGACTTCTGTTCTGTTGACCTGGAGCCGTCCATTGGCCTCAGGGGAAAATATAGTGAGCTACGAACTCTACTGGAATGATACCTATGACAAGGTTTGTAAAGCAATCAATTGTCTTTAGTTTTTAGTAATGCAAAATTTCAAATCAGGAACGACACCACCGGCACATTCCAGTTGCTCAACACTACAAATTGACAAACCTGTTCCCGAACACACTTTACTTTATTTGGATGGCTGCAAAGAGTCAGAGGGGCGAGGGTGCCACAACCATCCCCATCGCTGTGAGAACAAAGCAGTCTGGTGAGTTGATAGCTAGCTGACCCCTTCCTTGTAAAGGCTAGTTCCTGAGGGGCAAGAGAGAAAAATGAAATTCATCGACATTGACCGATCTCCTTTTTTTGAATTTGATGTTTTCGGTGTTGCATGTCCCTGGATTTTTTGAAAGTTTTAAGTTTTTTGGCCCCCCGTTTTTCTTATGTTTTGGTCATGATTTTGAAATCCACCTGACACAAAAAACAGCACCTGGAGCACCACCTCAGGATGTAAAGGCAGCTGCCGAGGGATCCAGGGCCATTAGGGTCAGTTGGAAGCCCCCTGCGGAGAAGCAGCAGAATGGCGACATCCAACTCTACAAAGTGCATCTTGTGCGGAGCTCGCAGTCCGACTCGGAGGCTAATGTCATTAGTGTGAATGGCTCCTTACATAGCGTGTTCCTAGATCAGCTGGCTCAGTACACAGATTACCGGGTGTGGGTTTTGGCCAGCACAAGTGTAGGAGACGGGCCACCCAGCTACCCGCAGACTGTCAAAACCGACGAAGATGGTACGTACACATTTGGCACTCGAAAAAATCAATATATACTGACTTCTTCCACGCCATTGTTTGAAGCTCAAAGATTTTATTGTTGTATAGTGCAATTAATTAAGTAAATTCGGTCACTGCTGGTTGTTTGTGGGCTTTCTTACGGGAAAAGTCGGTGAAGTATCTTAGCAAACTTTTGGCCATGCGCTGAAAATAAGCTGATTTCACGAGGTCGAAATGTAAATAACACAAAAGATGTTTTGCACAAAAATTCAAACAATGGTGAATTCTTTCGTCATTTCTTAATTTTTTGGTTTTCATTTATAACTTAAAATAATCTCTTGTTTTTTTCTGAACTCTTTCATTTTGTTTCAAAAAGCTTTGGTGTTTGGGCTGACATTTTCTTTTCAAATCTCTTCTTTAAACTCTTAATTTCTTTTGACATTTTCCCTCGCTAACCACTTCTCCGAAGTCTAGTCAATGTCTATCAATTTTTGGAGGACACTTTGGACTTTTTTGGGGAGTGCAAGTGATTTTTGCGCCGGAACTCTCGCTCTGTTTTTTGGTGACTGGGTACTACTAACAATATTCTTCTTTTCTCTCTGGCCCCTATATATATAACAATAAAAAAAAGCTCGGCCACGGCCGAGCACTGCAGCAACAGTAGGTTGATCATGAGTGCAGTTCTCTGAAAAGTTGTGGTGGATCTGGTATTTTTGCACCCTTGTGACGTTTCAACCTTTGATCGAGCACAGAGATTTTGTACAGCACTACTTCTACTTTTTGGCTATTTTGCACTTGGCTCACGCATTTTTTTCATTCAAGTTTTTGTATAGTATGTAGCATTTTTTGGTGTGAGCTGTTGCAAAATAAACCAGGAGCACTCCCTCTAGCACTCTACTACTACTATTCACTGCCCTTTGTGAATCCTTTCTTTGCAAAAGGACACCAATCACTTCGGCACCACCTTCCATGGTTGATTTTTATGTAGCTGTGCACGTCCAGTAGTTAGCAAAAAATATATTCCTGTCATTTCTCATTATTTCTGTGTCTAAAACGAAAAGCAACTGCAATAGTTTAGCTTTACTTGTTGCATGCTCGTATAAAAATAATATCTAAAATAAAATGTTACTTGCTTGGTGCAACTTCATATCTCTGCACCTCTAAAATAACTAAACTGAAGTTTTCAAAATCCCTTGGCAAACTTGTTCCTCATGATTGCTTTTCTTATACAGTGCCTGGTGATCCGCAAGGGGTAACAGCCTCTGTGATTAACTCTACGACAATCAAGGTGCAGTGGCAGCCTCCCTTGGAAAAGGACCGGCATGGCGTAATTAGAGGCTATCACATTCATGTACAAGAATCGAAAGAAGAGGTAGAATGAGATTCTTTTTGTGATTCAAACCAATCTTAAAATGAATTTGCTTCCAGGGAAAATCCATCATGACCACTCCAATTCGATTCGACATTTTGGAAAACTCAACGAGAGAACACGTTGTATCAGGCTTACAGCCTGACACAAAATACGCAGTCCAGGTTGCGGCCCTTACAAGGAAGGGTGACGGAGACCGAAGTGAGCCAAAGATTGTGAAAACACCTGGTGGAGTCCCCAACAGACCAGCTATAAATTTAACGTAATTATTATTATTCCTCTGAAAATTTATTTAAATCAATTCATCTTGGTTTCAGCGTTTTCGATGAAGAGCCTGGTCTTGCAGTTCAATTGCACTGGAGCAATCCATCACAAACTTATGGAGAGTTGATTGGCTTTAAAATCACATACGGTGCAAAGGAGCTGAACACGAGCAACGAAATATTTAAATCCGCCACCGATCATTTACACAAGTTCCAAGATCTTGGTAATTTTTTCTTTCCTAAGCTTCTTAAAACTTCTAATTAATTCATTTTATTTCACAGAACGTGGAGTCGAGTATGAATTTAAACTTGCTGGGCAAAATCAAGTTGGATTTGGACAGGAGAGTGTCAGACACTTCCTCACACCAGAGGGAGTGCCAACTGGAGCTCCTTTTAACTTGACCTACCGATTTTTGGTGAGTATTTGATTACTTTACAGTTTCTTTCTTTATTTTGCATTTAATTCATAGACACCAGACATTGTCTCCCTTTCCTGGGAACCTCCTATTAGAAGTCAAAGGAATGGAAAAATCAGCAAATATGATGTGAAGTTCCATAAGGTCAGCTCAACGCCTTCCGAACCTATCAGCCAGAGAAATGTTTCAACAAATAAGGTAATCAACGAACGTTCATTCAATATTTGTTTGTAATTATTCCTAATGTTATTTAGGCCGTTTTTGGAGAACTCGAGGAAGGAGCAGTTTATTTGTTCAGAGTTCGGGCTCACACTTCCAAGGGTTCTGGACCTTGGAGTGACGTTTCCAGCTTCACTGTTGACAAGGAAGGTGTGAGACCTCCACTTGCAGTTATGGCTGTGGCCACCTCAGATTCAAGTATTGAGGTTTGGTGGGAGAGTGTTCCAAGCAGAGGAAAAGTCATCGGCTACCAGGTAATAAATTTTGCTAATCGAGTCTTCCTCAAGTCACATAAATTATTTTTAGATTTTCTACACAATGACTGCTGTGGAAGACCTTGAATCGTGGTCACAAAAGACTGTCGGCTTGACAGAATCTGTGGAGTTGGTCAATTTGGAAAAATATGCTCAGTATGCCATTGCCATTGCAGCGAGGACAAAATCTGTTAGTTTTTCGTAGAAACTTGAGAGTATATTTGAATCAGTCTAATTTTAGGGTTTGGGCCGTCTCTCTGAAAAGATCACTGTTAAAGTAAAACCAGAAGATGTTCCTCTCAATCTTCGTGCGTCTGATGTTAGTACACATTCTATGATCCTCTCGTGGTCTCCCCCAATTCGGATTAATCCCATTAACTACAAGGTAACTAATCAAATTCAATACTTGAAGATTTTGCATTAACTGTAATTTTTCCTAGATTACTTTGGAGGCAACAAAGCAGTTTGTTGATGCTCAGGGAATCACCCAGACAGCACGCATTATGCCAAGGACTATCATATTAGAAAACATCGTAAATAGCCAATTAGTGAACGACTTGTCTCCGTTCACCACCTACAACGTAAATGTCAGTGCAATTCCCTCAGACCAGCAGTACAAGCCGCCGGCTAAAATCACAGTCACAACTCAGATGGCTGGTAAGTAGATATAAATATTTTTTCCCTTTTTTTATCTTTATTAATTTGAACTCAATATACTTTTAGCTCCGCAACCAATGGTCAAACCTGACTTGTATGGAGTTGAAAACGAAGAGCTCATTCTGGTCATCTTGCCACAAGCTTCCGAGGAATATGGACCAATCAGTCATTATTATTTGATTGTGGTTCCTGAAGACAAATCGAATGCCAACAAATACCCAGATGCCTTCTTGACAAATGAGGTTTGTGTTTTGAAAAGTTAGGAAGGAAATAGTTTTTCATGTTTATAATTACAGATGCTTGCAAGCAAAGGGAAAAAACAGGAACGTGAGAATGCACCATACATCGCTGCTCGCTTTCCTCAAAGAAACATTCCCTATACCTATGCACTGGGCACTGGAGAGACGCACGAAGGCTTTACCAATCGTAAATTGGTCTTGGGTACCCGATACAAGATGTTTGTCCGCGCTGTAGTGGACACTCCAGAAAAGGTAATTTTTATTTTTAATATTAAAAACCTTTCATATTAATTTGTTTTATTGTAGCACCTTTACACATCAAGTCCATTTTCTGAGCCTCTTAGTTTGGATATGAGACAAGTTCCTCCTGGTGAGCCACCTCGCAGACCAAGTCCTGACATACCTGTTGAGCACTCAAGTGATGTTGGTGTGACACCGAAACAGGCAGAAATGTGCATCCTTTGCATTCTTGGGCCAGTTGCTGCCGGTCTGTTTTTGGCAATCCTTGTTGTTTTGATTATGATCAGGAGGTAAGAAGCAAAAATAAAATTTGGTTCGTTAATTGAAATTCATTTCAGTCGTAGACGCCGCCCTTGCAAGTCACCTGAGCAGGCAGCGGTTTTAGCTCCTCTGATGTCAAGTCCGGAAGCATTGAGTTCTCTACCCGTCGCCCCATCTGATCCAGTAGAAATGAGAAGATTGAAATTCCAGACGCCAGCTATGATGTCACATCCTCCAATTCATATCGCAGACCTGGCAGATCACATTGACAACCTCAAAGCGAATGATAATCTCAAGTTCTCTCAGGAATATGAGGTTTGTGCTTCCAGTTGCAAAATGTGCTTATCTTATTCATATTTGCTTTCAGTCCATTGAACCAGGGCAGCAATTCACTTGGGACAATTCAAACCTAGAAGTGAATCGAAGCAAAAATCGGTACGCAAACGTGATTGCCTACGACCACAGCAGGGTCATCTTGAACAATATTGACGGACTCACTGGCTCTGACTACATCAACGCCAATTATTGCGATGGGTTCCGAAAACAGAACGCTTACATAGCCACTCAAGGACCACTCCAGGAAACATTTGCCGACTTTTGGCGCATGTGCTGGGAGGCTCGATCAGCTTCCATTGTCATGATGACGAGACTTGAAGAGAGAGCGCGGATAAAGTGTGACCAGTACTGGCCTTCAAGAGGGTCTGAGACTTACGGCAACATCACAGTCACCATCAATGACGTCCAGGAACTGGCAACCTACAGCATTCGCACCTTCCAAGTAGCCAAGGCTGGAGTTCCGGAAAGAAGGGAAATTCGTCAGTTCCAATTCACTGCTTGGCCTGATCACGGCGTCCCTGACCACTCGGCTCCATTCTTGCTTTTCCTCAGAAGAGTTCGTAATCTTACGCCTACTGAGTGTGGACCTATGGTTGTTCACTGCAGCGCTGGTGTTGGTCGCACTGGATGTTTCATCGTCATTGACTCAATGATTGAACGGCTCAAAAACGACAAGTTAATCGATATCTACGGGCATGTCACCTGTCTAAGAGCTCAGAGAAATTACATGGTTCAGGTATTAAATTAAATATCCTTTCTGATGAACACCATATTTTAAACTTTTTTTACTGCAGACTGAAGACCAGTACATTTTCATCCACGATGCTCTACTCGAAGCTGCCATGTGTGGCATCACAGAAGTGCCTGCCCGAAGCCTCCATCAGCATTTAGAAGCTCTCTTGCAGACTGATGTTGGCGAGAGCACAACAGGAATGGAAGCAGAATTTAAAGTATGTTGATCAATTTTGCTATTTAATTTTTAATCTTAACAACTGTTATTTTACAGAAATTATCCACAATTCGAGTGGATGCAACACGGTTTGTCAGTGCCTCGCTGGCATGCAACAAGGCTAAGAACAGGCTGGTCCACATCTTGCCATTTGAGTCTTCACGGGTCGGTTTGCAGCCTATCAGAGGAGTCGAAGGCTCCGACTTCATTAACGCCAGCTTTGTTGATGGCTACAAGTACAGAGGAGCTTACATTGCCACCCAAGGGCCACTGCCAGAGACTGTCGAGGACATGTGGCGCATGCTCTGGGAGCACAACTCAACAATCATCGTCATGCTCACTAAGTTGAAGGAAATGGGACGAGTAAGAGAAAATATTCTTTGTCAAAACCTCAACTGATTAATTAACTTCCAGGACAAATGTCAGCAGTACTGGCCGAGTGACAGATCAGTTCGGTACAGCTACTTTGTAGTTGATCCCATTGCAGAATACAATATGCCTCAATACGTACTCAGAGAATTCAAGGTAATATTTTTATTTAAATCAAAATGCAAAACTAAACTTGGTAAATAATGTTTTTATCAGGTCACAGATGCAAGAGATGGCCAGTCGAGAACTATTAGACAATTCCAGTTTGTGGACTGGCCAGAACAGGGTGTCCCCAAGTCTGGGGAAGGTTTCATAGACTTCATAGGGCAGGTGCACAAGACCAAGGAGCAGTTTGGACAAGAAGGGCCCATCACTGTCCACTGCAGGTATAATTTAGGAAATCTTTTTTTTTAGCAAAAATATAAGCAATGTCATCTTCTGCTTTTGCAGTGCCGGAGTCGGTAGGACGGGCGTTTTCATTGCTCTGAGCATTGTGCTGGAACGCATGCAGTACGAGGGCATTGTAGACGTTTTCCAGACTGTGCGAATTCTTCGCACGCAGAGGCCAGCAATGGTACAAACAGAGGAGCAGTACCAGTTTTGTTACAGGGCAGCTCTCGAGTACCTTGGTTCGTTCGACCACTACGCTGCCTAAATCAAAGACTTGAAGCATTTATTATGGTTTAATTGTTGAAAAGGCTGCTATTCGATTAATTTTGGGTGTCTACAAATGCATTATGAGCTATTTAACAAATTATACATCACATATTATAGATAGGCTAATTAGAGAGTGGTGTAGAGTACTTCAGAAAGAATCTCAATCCTGGCAATTATTGTTTTCGTCCTTTCTTTTAAAAGTGAAATCTTTATTTAACAGATAAGTTTTTTTTCTACTTGGTGCCATCTTTTATATTATTGTATTTTAACCGAGCTGTATTTTTCCCTTTTTTGTGGGGGCAAGGCCAAGACGAAGTCATGCCAGCCTCTCTTTTTTAAAAATTTTGTGATTGTCCTTTTGGCGTTGAATTAATTTTGTGCAGCTCAAAGACTTAAAATAAAACTCTGTAACAATGGCACGATCAAGGCACAAAAGTGATATCTTGTCTTGCATGAATTGTACTCAACTGTGTATTATTATTATTCCATTCAGCGCCCGTAACTGTAAAAGTACATAGATAACATGTATGGTGGTCTTCCTCGTTGTGAACCGGTGCAACATTATTTGTTTTTTCCCTTAACACAAAATAGTGGTATGATGTTGGTGTTTGTGAAGCATAAAGAATAATCCACTGCAGCGTGTTGAAGCAAATCGCCCCGGTAGCTATTGATTGTGTACATAATCGAGCAAGGTTGATAATATACGAATATAAGGAAACCTCGGACCTGGACAAAAAAAGTGCTCATTTGTAGTGCTATTTCCTATTCAAAAACAATTAATCTGTAGTGCCATGCAAATTTTATGAAATTTTATATTATTCTTTCTTTTAACCCTGTGCTATTGTATTTATGTTGCAAAATTTATATTCGGTTTGGAATTAACTCCATCAGCAATAAGTCTTAATGAAAAATCAAATTGTTTTAGAAACGTATGTGCGTAGGGTGTAAATTTAAACTTAAGCAAGAGAGAGAATTGAAATTATTTATTCATTAAAAACGAACCACCGCTTTGTCGAAACCGGCACATTTCCATTTCGCTTGTTTGAGTTTGTGACGACACACAATATATGCGCGGAACAAAACGCAAACACTGTAATACTTCCATTCCACAATGCGTAATGACAAAAAAGAAGAAGCAAACACATTATAGTAAATATTCAGCTGCATTTTTATACACTGTGTTTTCGCAACACAAAACAATTTAACTATGTATTTATTATACTCTCTTGTTATTTTTATCATGATCCTCAGTAAGATTATTAAAACTATGTGAATAAAGGAGCAAGCAACGTCGCCGTTTAGGAACAAAAAGGAATATTGTAAAGCGAGAAAAACGAAAGTGCAGTGAAAAGTTGTGTATATGAATAAATATGTTTTACTCTATGAGATAAAAATAAGTCCCTTCGCAATTAAAGGGAGCGGTTGAAAATCACTGTCGAATCTGAAAAACTGCGGCAGGTAAATAAAGAAATACATAATCAAAGAAAAGAGAGTGTTTTTTTTCACTAAGTTTGATATGACAGATAGCAAAGAGAAAACATTCAAGTAAATCCAATTTATTTAAATTATAATATTTCTATGTACTGAATTTTACTACAATAAAAAGATACCTTCTGTTTAATTAAATTTCTTAAATTTTATTCTCAATGTTAAACTCATAAGTCATAATTAACTTTTACACATTTATTTAAGTGTCAACTATAAAAATAAAAGGAAACATCCGTTAACATTTAATTTATATCCTCGTAACAAAAATTGAATGTTTTAATTCTAGAAGGTGCGTCAAGTGGGCGAAAGAGTTTCCTTGGCCCAAGACATCTTTTGCACTCGGACCCACACATTGATAATATGGAAGTGACAAGGCAACTTACTCCACACGGCACCAAGCAAAATGCTCTTTTCTGTAAAAGGAAAAAATTGATCTCGATCATTCACATTTGAAATTATAATAATTCATAAAATACCTGTTCGGTTCTTCCTTTAATATTTTTTAAATAATATTTAATATTTTCAGTATTTATTCGTCTGTTTTAAAATGCTTTAATAATTTTATGCTCAAGAGATTGCATTTTTTTTTTTTTAAGTAAGTAACGATTAAAATTAAAATCGCTTAAATTGTTTTTATTTATAGATGATACAAATTAATTAATAATGTGACACACTGATCGTGAGTTCTCCAATCATTAATTAATTTTTACAATTTCACAAAAACTCTGTAGATTTGGAATATTATAATATTAACTAGTGTATTTTATTTTGTACTGCCAAAATAATTGTACTTGAAAATTAAATTTAAAAAAGCTGCACTCGTGTTTTGAAAATCTACAATTCAAACAAATTATATTTTTTTTGTGGTTAGCAAAATGGAAAAAAACAAATGCATTAAAAAAAGGCAAAAAAAGAAACGCAAATTTTTGGCATAGTGATAATATAAGAAGAGTTTAAATAAAAAAAATTAATATTGCTTGTGCGACAAACGCCTTCACCAGATTATTAATTATTAAATTATTATCCTTTTGTGCTAAAAATCAATAATGAAATTTTCAACGTTCCACATAATATAGGTGCCCACGACACAAATCAAATTTTAGACTATGTTAGAGTATAATACTGGTATAATACATAATAGCACTTTATAGCCTTTATGCGCGACCGTAGCTTGCGAATTGGCGGGCTCACAGTTGTTACTATTATTTTTATCAATGAATTTTAATTTATTTTATTGTGACCAGGCGCTTGCGCAATGGCGCTGTACAGGGCGGTTTCCCTTCTGAAATTAATTACAATAGCAAAGAAATTCTTTTAAAGGGAACAAAAATTCTTAAAATTAAGTTTAAAAATCAAAAAAGGAGATTTAAATTAGTTTGCGGGTCGGTGGAGGCGAAAAAGCCGTGGGTAAATTATTTCGACTTCAGGAGTGCGGAAGCCGAAAATGGCAGTAAAAAAATTAGAGGATGCGAATCCACCATGATCAGAGTACCGCGCAATTCGAATGTTGCACCTCTCCCTTAGCAATCTCTTTTGGCGGGGAAGCAAGATGGCGTCGTCGCACCTGCAAAAACGGCAGTTCTCATAACGAGCGGGGTCTACGGTGCTGCCACCTGCGGGCACGCTCACACAAATTCCGCGCTCGCCGGCTCACTCGAAGCTGCTCGTGTAGTTCGGTAAGTACGCCACGGTCACATTTGTTGAATTTTTGCAGGTAAAACGGGGCCGGGTAGAATTTTCGAAAAATGCGAACCGTGCAAAAGAATTTTCGTGAGATTTTTCCGCGCGTCCGCGACTTTTTTCCATGCACGGGCCGATTTTTGAGAAAATCAAAAGTGGCTTCGCAGTATGGCGTTGGTCGGCGGGGGACGCGACCGACTCGGCTCAAAAATGGCCAGCCGCGGCCGAAAATTAATTTTAGCTCTGCCTCTCGGAGGTGTCGGCTGACCGCCCGCCACGCAAAATTCGCGACGAAAATGCCGAATTTTTTGGCGCGGCTCGCGAACGCGGTCGGCGTCGCTTTGCCGGAAAGAAAAATTCCAGCCGTGTCGATTATTATTGTTTGACGAAAAGTTTGAAAATGGCGGGCGCGCTCGGCGCAATTTCGCCACCGCCGGCATCACATTTTCTGCTCCCGCCGATTTTCGCAAAATTAAGGCGCCCCCCGCTGGAATCGGGAATTCGGGAGACGCGTCGGCGGGCTTGCCTGCCGCCAGGGGACGCCGTTGGTGCGTTTTTTTTCTCACGAGGGTAGCGTCAGTTTTCGGTGGCGTCACAATTACCGGACCCCACCGGATTTGTCTAATAATATAATCTCGGCGCGCACATATAAGTGAAAGGAAAACGGTTTGTGCTTCAAAATTTCCTCGCATTTTACTGCGTTTTGAATTTTTTTTTTCATAATTTTCCAGAATTTTCCCGCGCTCAACGGAATTTTTATCGTTTTTTCCGCTTCCCCACTCCTCTATAGTTCAGGTTTTGGTAAATTTTCTCATTTTCTGAATGAAATTGTGGAAAATTCAATCCATAGTTGCAAGTTTTAAATTCCTATTAACACTGAAAGTGAAAATTTTTGGAATTTTTTTGAATTTTTTTCTCAAAATCTCATTTTGCATAATTAATATTTTGTATTTTTTCCAAATTGGAATAATTAATTGGAACACTTCAGATTTTTTTCTTAGTAACTTAATAATTTTTATTAATATTGCTGATTATTATGAAGCTTCTTTTGAGACTTGAAAGAGTTCTCGGCAAGGCTATCGGAATTATTGATTTATTGGGTTTCTGCGTTCCTTACGTGTTCGAAGCCGAGAGTGGCGCCTTTTGTGCGAGTGCGTTCGTTTGCCACACGCTCTTGGCCGCCTTCCGTATTCAAAAATAGAACTCGGTTTCACTAATAAACATTTCTTAATTTATTTCGAACGCCAAAACGATAACACCTGAGGCTAAAAATACCAAATTTAATTAACCAAAAAATTAATTTTTCAACATAATTTATTTCTATCAAATCCGTATTTAAAAAAATTCAGGCCTAACCTTGCTAAAAAAATTAACGACATTTTTTCCAAGCCCTTTATTTAATTATTTTAAACAGTTTAATTATTTCGTTGAAACCGGATTTCTTTTTCTGGAAAGTTGCTTCAGAGATTTCAACTACTGCCTCTCCCTTTTGTTCCTGGGGGCAGATGGTTTGTTGGTTGGTCAGGCGGCCGAGGGGATGACGCGGGGTGGTTTAGGGGGTTCGTCGTTAAAGTTTCAGCTGCATAGTTCAGTGATTCCACCGTTACGGCCACGCTAGCTTGGGTAGCTTCAAGCTACATTTTTTTTATAATCTTTATTTTTTCCATCAAGTTTCAAAAGAAATTCTAAGATTCTCGCGCGCTTTTTGATTTAATTTAATGTAAACCAAAATCTTCCTAGAAAGATTTATTATTTTTCATAAATTGATAATAATTTTCTGGTTGCAGTTTTCGTGTCAGTTCCGTCAAAACCAAACTCACCCGTAAAACATGGCTGATGACAACTCACCCGCTGTTGAGGAGAAGAAGAAGGGCAGGGGCCGCCCTGGCAAGAAGGACGTTGAGGAGAAGAAGGTCAGTTTTTTATTATTTTCTATAGCCGACAGAAATATTGGAAATTTCAAATCAGTGTTTTTTTCCATAGTTTTTTTGTGAAAATAGAGTGAAAATTATTTTTCAGCTTTTATTTTTATCTTATAATGGTACAGAAATCATGAGGAAATTTAAATAATTTAATTGTGATTAAATATTTTGTTAGTTTCTTTTTAATTTTAGTTTTTTTCTGCTTTTAAATGTTTTTTATGTATTGTATATTAAATTATATAGGATTTTTCTATGAAAATCTTTGTAAATTATAGTATAAAATTTTATTTTTACCAAAGCTTCTTTAAAATTGCTAGAACAATCAAAATTTAAAAGTTGACTTTTAATTCAGTTATTATGAAATGCTTCATCGACTTTGTTTTTTCTTAAATTTTATTCCAAACATCTGTCTTATTTCATGTTGCTCAGGAATCTCCTGCTGCAAAGAAGCGTGGACGCGCCCCGGCTGAGAAGTCCGAGGAGAAGAGCAGCGGCGCCTCCCCTGCCAAGCGTGGCCGTGGAAGGCCGAAGGGCTCTGGCAAGAAGTCCGCCGCCAAGGCTAAGGCAAAGGTATAAGTTTCTCTCAATCCCTTTTGTAAATCTTGAAATTATTCACTTTATTCCTAATTGGTTTCTGATCCAAAAATTTCCCTTTTGTTCCAAGAAGGCAGCCAGCGGAGGTTCCGGACGCGGCCGTGGCAGACCCCGCAAGTCTGACAAGGAGGAGAAGGAGACCGAAAGCGTAGAGGAGGATGAGGAAGAGGATGCTGAATAAACTGCAAATCGCGCGCGCTGAGGATGGTGACGAATGCCTCCTTGCTTCAGAACTACCACAATATTCATAACTACCGTTTGTGTGTCACACCAGCCAAAATCTTTCATAATACGGTCATAATCACAAGCCCACTTTAATTCGTACGTACAGCGTTAGACGTATCGATGCCCACTTAAGGTGCATTTTATTTTTTATTTGGTCGCAAAAATTTGTACTTTGTGCAAACGGTCGTTTTTTGCCGCAAGATTTTTAACGATAGCGTTTTTACTTTAAGTTTGTGTGGACTAAATAATTATATATTATTGTACGATGTAACGATAAAACTGGAAGAACAAACAAAAACTTATATAGATACCAAAAAATATGAAATGTTTTGACGTGAAATCCTCGCGCCATCCTATCTTTTGATTTCCCTGACGGCAATATATACATCATTGTGTCTATCAACAAACCAACCAACACATGTGCAAGTACAAATTCATTGACGGAACTCACTGGTTCGCATTATTTTTCATTTTTGCAAGTATTACTGCGCCTGAATGAATCTCAGAACACTTCTTAAAATTATCGTATTACAATAGTAGAGATGTGTTTCGTAAATTTTAATTTTTAAGTTTTCGGACGGCTGTGCGTCGCACCCACGGTCCCGGATTGTATTTTACCAAGAGCGACTCTTCCGAGCTCGACCGAGCGTGTGGCTCGCGACCGTTGACTATTTTTTTATGGTTTGACTTAACTACTACTCACAACATGGTAGCCATATTAAATTATAAGAGAGTCGATTGCGAAATGTGTAATTCAGGTCCAGAATAAACAAACTTAACGTACACAACTTTTCATTTGTTTCTCTTCCTCACCTGAATCAAGGTTGAAAATGTTTCTAAAACATTAAAGAATTGTAAATATTTTGCCTTGGCGGCCGGGAAATGACCCCGATCGCTTGTGATGTCTATTAATTGAAATGGGAACACAAACTTAACTCAGCAAATTTGAAATTAACGTTCCTAAATCTAACTATTTTCTTGGCGAGATAAGCATTTTCTTTTGCTTAAATTCGAGCTTCATGCGTTTCACTCCATTTGAGAGCTTGTTCGTAGTCCAGCCAGGATGTACCTTCCTCAAAGGTACTTGTGCTTTTTCGCATTAATTGTCACAGCGTTGGCGGCCGAGCCGGAGAAAAATTTGGTCACCGTCGCCACCAAGAAGATCAGCAATGTCGTCAGTGACAAATTCATCAGCATCTCCCTTGACCCTGAGCTGCTCATGGACCACGACTTTGCCAGGTAAATTGTTGCAGAAATTATTGGCCTAAATTGACGTAAATTACAAAAATAAGCACCGACTTGCTCAAACTGCAAGAAATGGCCAGTTTCTTTGCTCCTGCGTACTTGAGATTGTCCGGTCCGTGGTGTCAAAAGTACAGATTCGAGGCCTACGGAGACACGGCCAATGAAAAATACGTCGTCACAGGTTGATTTTGGTTTTAAAGAGATTTGAGATATTTTTAATTTATTTTATTAAAAAAAAAGGAGAGACAGTCGAAGTTGTTAGTCAACTGGTGCGCGAGTCTGGCATGAAGTTGCTGGTTTGCCTAAACCCAACTTTGCGTGCTTCGGACGGCTCCTGGAATTCTACTGAAGCGAGAAATCTGCTGGAGGTTTTGCACATGATGGACTTGAACATTGCGGTTGAGCTTGGATACGGTTGGAAAAAAAATATTTAATTTTCAGAATAATATTAATTTTTTTTATATATATATTTTTTAATTTAATTCATATTTTTATATTAATTAGAAAATTAATTAATTATTTTTTACTTTTATTCTAATTATCTTTTTACATAGAGTTATAATTCTTACTTGTTGAATTTTTTCATTAATATTTATATTTAATTATTGAAATTATAACATTCAATTTTCAAAAAAAAAAAATTAACTTTACTTTAATTTACTATAAGTTATTATTATTATTTTCTGACAGAGCGATTGAAAAACGAGCCACACATGAGCGGCTCTCAAATGGGCGCCGATCTGCTCGCCCTGTCCGACCTTCTGGAAGAGTTTCCTCGTTTCCGTAAAGCGTCGATTGTCGCTCCTGACATCACGTCCCTCAAAGTTGATGACAAAATCAGAATCGCTGAGATGCTGAAAACGGCTGGCTCGAAAATCCAAAAAATCATGTGGCACACAACGTAAAATTTTACTAAATACCTGGATTTATTTTTGATTAAAACAATTATTTTAGAGATTACTCGCCCAAAATAACTGAAGGAAGTCACGATCTGGGATCAAAGGTCAGACTTGGCCTTCATGAAATGGCCAGTGACAGGAAAGATATTCACGACGAACTCGCATTCTACAACGCTGCTCATAAACCTCTGTGGATAAGTAAAATATTTTTCATGAAAATTTTAGATTTTTTAATTTTTCATTAGGAAAATTAAATAAGGTGTTGGAATAAATTAATTTTTATTTATTCTCCACGATTATTTTTAAATGTTTTTCTATTTATTAATTCATTATTTTTGTTTTTAATAAATTACAATTTCCCCAGGCGAAGCAGAGAGACCCGCGCCACAAGGCCGTTTTGTAGACGCAATGCAATGGGTGTCAAAATTAGGCCAGGCAGCGAGAATGGACGTGGACGTTATCATGCATTCGCCGACACTGCAAACTCTTCTTCATCCAACTCCTGTATTTTACACAATTTTTATAAAAAATAATTATTCTAAATTAAAATTTTGTAGGAATTTTGGGTTTCGGCGCTGCACAAGCAACTCGTGGGCAGCTCGGTTTTGGACACACGGTTTGTGAACGAGAGAATGGGAAGAGAGACGCACATCTTCGCGCACTGCTCGACCACAGGCGTGTCTTTGGGCGGCATCGTCGTTTTCGGCGTTAATTACCGCGACGAAGCTGTGCCGCTCGAGCTGCACGGAATTAAGGACAGCGAAGTTCGAGTTTACATGATCACACCGGAAAACAATATTTTTGAAAAGTAAGCCAAAAAATTTGAACAAAAATTAATTTATTTATTAAAACTTCAGCAGTAAATTTTTTTCTTTAAGCAAACTGGAGCTTTTTTTTAATAAATTGTTAAGATTGAAAAAAAGGGAATTTTTTTAAAGAAAACAATTTTATTTGCTCGTCATTTTTTCCAATAGGAATATAAACGCTTTATTATTATTATTATTATTTTTTTTAAATTTCTGAATTTCTATTAAATTATTTTTTTAATTTTTAGGAACATCCATGTGAACAAAGCTGTTCCATCTCTCTCCTCGTGGGTGCAGCCGATAATTTTGTCGCCTAGCAACAAGAGCATTTCCCTAATGATGCCTGCCAAGTCGATCGTTTTCTGGGACGTCCCGAATGCCGGCGCCTCTGCGTGCATGCCGAAGGAAAGCGACCGGAAGAAGAGATTTGCCGCGGACGAGATTGAAGATGGACCCGAGGAGGACAAGTACCACTGCGGCTGGAGCATCATCATGGCCAATCTGCCAATTTTCCACCGTAAACCTGAGCAGGAAACGAAGGGCCGAGCCGAAGAGGAGGAAATCGACTATTTCAGTTCAAACAACATTCGCGTTTTGGGTGAAAAGGAAAACCTGCAAAAGGTCGATGGCACCTCTGTCGAAGTGGACAAGGACGATGGATTCGTGGACAAGGTCCGCATGCAGCAATTCTCAGACCCGGGATTGAGTTACATGGGCCAAAATATGCCCTTCCTCATCCACAGTTTGTTTCCGGACAGCGTTTCCTCGGAAGAGCAGATCAGAGCAAAACGTGCGGCCCCTTCTTTGAACCCGCCCATTGACCTCCTCAAAGGAAGTCAGCTTTTGCACACAATAAATCAAAATCGAGCACCGCGAAAGGAGGAAAAGAAACCTGGAGGATTATTTGCGCCGAAAATTCTGCACAGGCGGCTCGTGGCTCCAATTCAGGCAACGAATTTTGCCCAGAAGTTTGAACAGTTTAAAAGGGACTTTGAGCAGAAGCTGGAGGCGCAGCGGCAGAAGAAGAACGAGGTCAGCAAACTGGTGCTCAAAAGAAAGGTGGACAACCTGCTGCTGCCGAGGTCCGTTGGAAACCAATACAAGGACGCCTGGCCCAGGATGCAGCCCGCCAAGACTAAAAGCAACCACAGGATTATAGGAAAAAAGGAACCCGAAGATGAAGAGGAAAGCAATTACAAAGGAAATAATAATGGAAAGCGAGGTATATATTAAATTTAATATTTTTCCTTGAAATTTATTTAATTAATATAATTAATTTTTAAAGGTACTGATGAGCTGTCTCCGTTCAGAGACGCGCCAGAAACAGAAAATCCTCGCGTGAAGAGAAAATCCGGAACCACTAATGGAGATTTCGAGTTTGAACTTTTGGACCAAAACGATCTGAATAAAGTCGACTCGGTCTGGCCGGCATACAAGAACGTTATTTTGGGCAAGTCGCCGTCTGAAATGCCCAGCGTGCCGACAACTGCCGCCTCGAGTGAACAAGAAAAGGAAGATTCGAAATCTGAAAAAGATGGCAACGTGCTTCACCAATTCTTTGAAACGGCAAATCGCATTTTGTGTTCGGTGCGACGAGCCCTGAATCCGTCATTGCCTTGTACATGCAACAAAAACAAAAATTAATTTAATTATCCTTGATGATTTAGAATAGTTATTTGTGTGTTATGGCATTTTGTTTAAAATAAATATTTTTGTTATTATTAAAAAAAAAGAACAATTCTCATTCATGAACTCACTTCACCTAATTATATTGATGAGTTTTAAGCAAATTACTCAACTTGTAAATATTAGCAATAGTATTTAATATTTAAGTCAAGTAATCAAGGACATTTTATTATTCAAAAGAGTTTGCTTAACCTTGAAAGACGTTCAGGTCAGGAGTAACATTTATGTTTAAGTTACGAGATCTCGTTTCCATTGGCCAGCAATTGTTAAATATTTTTCAAAACAAAAAAGCGACCCACAAAAAGGAGGCGAGACTCGTCGCAGGTTTGAATTCAGTTCATATTTGGCGTTCCCACTTGCAACACTGACTCGACTAGTCTGCACACAGGTGACATTTTATTTACAAATTTTACATTTTGTGGAAAAATTGCTGACTAGCATTTGTCTTCAAGAATTTAATCTTTAAAATTGTTGCTGGAAATATATTTTGCTGAAATCAGCAGACAACTTTAAATGTCAAATTTTGACACACTTTAAAATGCTGAGACGTTCTTTAAAGAATGTTAAGTCGGAAGCAGTTTTTTTTTTATTATATCATTTTACAAAAATCGAAATTCTGCTTTTTTTTTTAAAGATGTTTTAATGATTAATCCATTTTATACTGTAAATTTTTTTGTTTTCCAGGAAGAAAAATGCGGCTGATTTGGCTGCTAATCATTTGGGCTCCATCAGTCTGGACAAAGCGCCACTCAAACAGGGCAGCGCAACCCACAGATCTAAACCAAACGGCATTAATCAACACGACTGTCCCTTATAAAATCACAGATGAGAATTTCATTAGCATCACACTCGATCCCTTCTACATTCGAGACCTCCCCTGGGCTGATCCGTATAAGAATATAATCCACTAAGTGTATAAAAATTTTAAATCAAAAATTGTTTTCAGCTTAACTTTGAAGCTGGCAAAAGAATTGAGTCCAGCGTGGTTCAAAGTGGCGCCGACTAATGACTCTGTGGACTATACAGAATTTGGCCTTACAAGTAATAATGACAAATATTATTTTTATTTTATAAATTTAATTTTTCTGAACAGTATTCCAGTGGGCTGCAATTAGTCACTTTGCAACTGAATCGGGATTTGATCAGATTTGGGACGCCGGAATATTTGAAAGGGCTGTTGCTGGATGGGACAAAACTCTGAAAGGTGGAATGTTTCCTCTGAGCGTAGCGCCTCCGACCAAACACGGTATGCAATTATTTTCATCAATAAAAAATTGAAAAATAAAATTCTTTGTAATTTCGGCAGACTTTCCTCCCCCAGCCGGCCGAATGGGTTTTTCAGCCTCGGCAGCCGATTTAAGAAAGGTGGACAGAATCAAGTCGATTCTCTCCAGGTACGACACAGACGAGATTCAGGTTTTCGGACCGGAAGTGAGTTTCTTCAACAGCTACCGGGAAATCGAGAAATTTTCAAAGTGGACGCAGCAAAACGCAGACAAAGTGGATGCCATCACTTGGCAGCCGTGAGTTTTGTCCCCGTAAAAATTTAATTTAAAAATAAATTTTTATTTAGTTCAAACCTGGCCGGAGGAGCAAACCTGAGGACTTCGGCCATCGTGAGCAAGGAGCCCGGCGACCTTTTCAAACTGGAGCTGCTGGTCCTTGACGGAGCACTGGAGAAGTTGGCGGACAAGAGCAAACCGATCTATATCAGTGAGTTCAAAGTTTGATCTTATTAGCTCCTGCAGGTTATGCAAAATGCTCGTCACAAATGTCGCGCACGTTGCATATACGTGAAATTTTAGGCGCTATGTTTTACAGGCGATTCGAGACTGCACTGGGAGGAGGAGGCTGCCAATTTGAAATTCAGAAATACTTTCGGCGCGACCCTCTTGTGGGCGGACAGATTGGGACAAGCGGCGGCCACCGGAGTTTCTGCCGTTTTTCAGCCAGATTTGCTGCCCCTGCATGACAGAGGCGTCCGAGTTCAACCACATCCGGTTAGTAAAAAATTAAAAAAAAAGAGTAAAATTTACTTTTGCTGAATTTATAGGATTTCTGGTTTGCTGTTTTGTACAAGAGATTGGTAGGAAATCGCGTTCTGGCCATTCGCTCCGACGCCTTTTTCAGTCCGTCTAGCAGCTTTTACGCCCAATGCACTCCTTCTGACGTGAAAAGCGGATACGACACTGGAGCGGTGACAATCATCGGCATAAATTTGGGACCGTCTGAAATGCGTGGAGACGTGTCTGATTGGTCCACCGGACGTAAAGAGATTGAGCTGCATCAGTACATGCTGACGGGAAAAATTGACGACAAGTATAAATATAAAAATATTTTTTATTAACTAATACTTTAATTAAATTAAAATAATTTTATTCTTTTAGGAAAATGTATCTCAATGGAAAAGAGCTTAAAGTTAATTATGAGGATGAATTGATGCCACAATTGCTGCCAGAAGTAATGAAATCACCTGACGAGCTTGTCCTGCCACCGTATTCTATCGCCTTCTGGGTGATCCCGGACATCGAGGCTCCAGCGTGCATCTCGAAAGCAAAAAGAAGAACCAAACGGTCCCTTGTTGATCCGGACACAACTCACTTGGCCATTGTATTCCCAGTCCAAGATATTATCGAAGCTGAAAAGGCGCTTGCAGAGGACCCGGAGTACAAGGAAAAGCGATGTTTCAAAAACGGTCCTTTAGCAGGAAAAATGCGCATCGACGGACACGACGAAGTTGAATGCCCTGTTGGCTGCACCCCTAAAAAACCGGGGGGTTGTCGGCTGGGAGGAGTAAAACTGGTCAATCCTAGCTGTTCCACGAATGATGTTCTGCAAAAATTGGTCCACATAACTAAGCAACGGAGAAAGGGTTGCTGCTGCGACGGCGGCGACACATGCGAAATTCCTGAAGACCAAAAACTACCCTCAGAGGGTGGCTCGAGAGCGAACAACGAAACTGGAAGACCAATCGTGGAAAAGGCGAATGCGACTGCAAAGCTCGGAGACAGAATCGAACAGGGGGAGGACAAACGGTTGGACGAGTTGATCAAAACCATATTCACGTCACCCCAGCCAACGGAGTCAACGACCGAAATGTTCAAACGTCTGCTCAATCAAAGCGCAGAGACGAATCTTTCGTCTTCAGTCACCCCTCAGGCTAAAGCTGCCGAAACCACTGTTAGCCTCACCCCGGTGAAATCTTCCTCGAGTCCTCGCGAAGACGAAGGCGCTCCTATCATTCAGGAAAGTATCACTCAACCTCTTACGCAAACCACGACCAAGTCAACAAGGAAACCAATTTACGATCCGGTGCACCACACATGGGCAAAAAATTATTTCACTTTGTGGCCTAGAAAAACGACTAGCACTACCACCACTACCACAACAACAACCACAACTCCTGCTCCGATCACAACCACTACTTCTTCTCCTGCGCCAAAGATGACCACCCTGGCTCCAAGTCCGACAACCCTCGCAGTAGAAATCACAACGACCGATATGAAAAAGCGAGTTGATGAAAAATCAGAACGGCCTTCGATCGCAAAAGCTGCAGCTCCTTCAGGGCCTCTTCTGCCCCCTCCATATGGCCAAAAGCAGCCGTACAGGTTTGAGGGTCAGATCATGGGGTTGGTGCACCCTGCCGAATACGAGCAGCAGCAGCAAACTGGCTTCCGGATTCAGCACGACTCGCCCTCGGACTTCATTTTTCCCGAGTTATCTTCAAGTCCTCTGCACCGGCCATTGAATGACGTTGAGGCTACAAAGAATCGGCACGACCAGTACTGGAACCATTTCCAGACGCAACCCACTAACCCTCAGCTTCAGGTCAGGATGAACAACCCTCCGCCGGAAATCTTCCACCCTTCTGAGCAGGCACTTCCTCCGCCTCCACCACTTCAAACTCCGCCGTGCGCTCACTGCAGCAACGGGTGCGAAAAGGCCAAGAGCATGTTCCCCTTTTTGGAGGGGATGTTGAAGTACCTGGCGACGGAGGGCGCATCTGTTCCGGAGGACGAGTTGAATCGGGGTCAACGGGTTCTTGAGGACATGCAAGAGGAGGTGAACAGTAAGGCGGAAGAGGTTGCATTTTCCGTCCGACGGGCCGAGGCGCAAGTGAGTCCTTGCGTGGAGCAGCTGAACAAGAAAATCAAGACGGCGCTCAACGTGTTGCAATGGCTGAAGGAAACCGCTAAGAAAAGATAAAAATTTAAAATTACATCAATATTTGTGTACATAATGGCAAGAAAAAGCATTTTAAATAATACAAAATAATCCTCTTCTTAATATAACATTTAGTTTTAAATTTTTTATGTCAAATTTAGTATTTATTTGATATATTAATAAAAATGAATTTCCCTTTTTATTTTGAATAATGTTTTTTAAGTATTAAATTTTTTTATTATATTATTTTATACAAATTTGGAAGCGCAATACCGCTTGACCGCTTTGATTTTGATTGTGCGTTACTATATTTTTTAGATCAAATATTGGTTAAATAAATATTAAAGAATAAATAAACAATAAAAAAATTATGTATAAATTGTTTTTTTATTATATCGGGTAAGGGTTCCAATACATAACTGTTACAAAAGTACTTTTTACACGCAAAATGGTTGCGACAATCTTTTTGTATCAAGAGAGAATTATGTTATTCCACAAAATTACTTGACACAAACTATTCGAAAGCAACGGAACGGAGCTCAATTCAATTCTTTTATAAATCATAAGTACGAAAACGCAGCGCAGGAGACGTGTGGTTTGAAGACAAACACAGCACCTGATTTATCAAACCCCTCGTCAACTTGATCAAAAGAGGAAGTTATTTAAAAAAAAAATCAGACAAATGTCTGTATTATAATTTATGTCTATAAATCAATAATTATGGCTGTCTTTTTACAACTTACGTCTAGAACGAAAATTTCAATGAAAAAACAAAATACCCAGAGGCGAATTTCCGATCGAAATTTTGAAATTATTATTCATCATCGTCAAGGGCGCAAAGAAAATTGTGCAATTAGAATATTTCAAAAATTAGTTCTACAAGAAGCGCCCACAACGTCTATTATATATCACATTCCACAGTTGATGCTTGGCAGGACCAGTACAGTATATTTATATTTCCACTTTTCCTAAATCCACCGAAAAATAACTGATTTCTTTCGCATCAAATAGCTGATCCTTAACCTAAACGAATAATTTATCCAGAACCACTTGTATTGAGAGAAATTAGCACTGAAGAAACAAATACATTATTTTGTCAATCTGAATAAAAGATTAAAACATTCATCCTCTCGAATTATAGAGAATCGCGTGTGTAAGTTTAATTGAGCTTTTCCTATTCTGTCTCTTTTCCCGCACATCAGTTTAAATAAATACTTGCCTCAATTTGCGTGGCAAACAATTATTTTTTTAACGTCAAATTTCAATATTAAAGTCATGGCTTCTTACTAGAATTTTATCCACTTGCGCAGCACTACAAACACACTCGATTGACGGCAAGAACTCGTAAAAGTTTTCTCAAATTTTATAATTGGTATATATAATAAAAATAATATATTTGTAATACGTAAAGCAGAGCAGTAATTTTCCCAAAAGAGGTAGTTTCACGGAACACACACTAAGCAAGAAGCACACGCACGTTGAAGAATTAATTATTTGTGTATCTATCCTCTCTTCACTTTGAGCACAATGAGACTGATGGTGAGGAAAAGCACAATCCAGATGATGGTCGAGACGAAGCCCATGTAGACGTCGGGCTCGTCGATGCCCCAGCCTCGGGTCAACATGCTCCTCAACGAGGTCGTGGCCATTGTCAAGGGCAGACCCTGGCTGATGAAACGGAGCACTGTGGGCATTCCCTCCACAGGCCAAATCACACCTAAAAAAAATTATTTCAAAATTAGAGCCAAATTTTGAAACTGAAATAAAATTATATAAATACATAAAATATTATTTTAAATACTAAATTTATATAACTTTCTAATAAAATAAATATTTTAAATTAAGTTTGAAATTTTTGGTTTAATTTTAAAATTAAAAAAGTAGTTACATACATAATTTTTTACTTTTAATTAAAAATTAGTATTTTTTTAATAAATTAATTAATAATATTTAATATTATCTATTGCATTTAAAAAAAAATATTTAGATTTCAGTGCGTAAGATAATTTTTGAATGGTAATTATAAAAAAAATATTTTTACTTACCACTGAGCAAAAGTGTTGGGTAGAAGCTGCCAAGGGCCAGTTGGATGGCGTTTCTCTCAAGTTCGCAAATAGCGGATATGACAAAACCTGAAAATTTTTATTTAAAAACCTGCTCAACAATTTAATTCTTAATAAAGTCTCACCGAAACACATCCCGCAAAGTCCCTGCAGAATAGTGAGCACCACCACCCATCCGATGTCTCCCTTGCATTCAACGCCAAAGACGGCGATCATGAAGACGAGCACCAACGCGGTTTGGCCGCACATGACCACAAACTGGGTGATGACGTGCGAGAATAGAATCTCAAATGGAGTCACACCTTGGAAATTAAATAATTAAATATTTGCAATAGAGTTAATTTTGTTTTAATTTACCAGCAACCCAACTTCTGTCCAGCAAACCTTCCATCCGTTCGATGATCAACGCCGAAGACGTCAGGGCCACAGCAAGGAAGAAGACAATTCTAAATAAAATTTAAATTAGTTTCAACTTTAATTTGTGTTTAATAAACCTCACGTCAGAATGACACCAGGAGCAACGAAATCGGTGAAACTGGGATCAGTACTGCCATAGATGGGCTCCTTGAACTGCACAAGAAGAAAAATATTGATTAATAAATATAATTTTTAAAGTGAAATTAGGTTTAAAACTATTTTTTATTTTTTACTATAATTTAAATTTTTTAATTAAATAATAATTTAAATATTTATTTATTCTCAATTTTACCTGGATTGGCACATCAGCCAGTTTGGGATTCTGGTCACAAGCGGAAAGGAGGTTTTGAGCAAAATCTCGGTATGAGAATTGCAAGTCTCGATTTAGCATCAGTCCAATTTGCTGGTCTGTTAAGAGGAAAACAATTTAATATGTTATTTTTCAATTAAGATAATAATTTCAATTTAATCTTATTTGTGATTTATTTCAACTTACTGGACATGTCGAGCCAGACCCGAATTTCACTTTGGTCCAAAGTTTCTTCGTCAGCGTCTCGGCCCAGCACCATTCGAGCAACCAAAGCGTCCGTGAAGTTCTCTGTAAAGTACAGAGCGCCCCAGGCATTACCTGACCGAACCGCCTCTATCGCACTTTCAGTATCCGGATAATAAACCTGCATTTTTTTGTAAATAAATTAGTAACAAAAAATAAATAAATATAAATCGAGTTTATTTTTTCAAAAATAGTAAATAAGAAATGTTAGCCAACCTGTACTATCGAGTTGTTGTTCAAATGTTGTAAGTACCGGCAGCCGAGGTCGACAAAGTTGCATCCTTCCATCGGGAGACATTCCCTCTGCGTTCCGTTGAATTCGTGGTTAACAATTGCCATTTTGAGTCCGGTGGGGTCGCGTCCAATAGCCAAGCAGAACAGAATGACTTGCATCACAGGCAGGGCGAAGATGAACAACATCACACTAGACAAATTTTTCAATTAATATTTTTCAGATATTTTATTAATAAATAATGTAAATTTTGCTCATTTCGGAAAATAGTATTAATTAGAATTTATTTAATATTAATATTGTTGAGAGAGTGTTTGATATTTCACTGATGAAATAATTATACTTTAAAAAGTTTGGCTCACCCAACATTACGCCACATTCTGAGGAAGTTCTTCTGCAGAAGGGCCTTCATCTTGCCCCTGGTGGTGATTTTGAAGCAGTCGGAGGCGCAGTCACCACAATCATCACAGTCCAGAGCCTCTTCAATCTTAGTTGTTGCCTTAGAAGTCTTGGAGTGGATTGTCTGTGGAAAATATTTTTCATTAGATTTGAGAAAGAAGAAAATTAAAAATATGTTATTTAAGAATTTTTGAAAGGCTGATGGAAATTCCTTTCCTTAATAAACAAGAAGGCTTTGAGATTTTTTTTTTAAATACCCAACTCACATCTAAATGTCCATTGATGCTGTCAGTAATGAGCACTTCTTTGGACTGGTGGAAGTTGAGTCCAATCACACCACTCTCGTCAGTCACATAAACGGGATCGTCCTTGCGATTCCAATTGAGAGAGGCCTTCGGAAATAAGAAAAATTAAATTCAATATAAATTAGAATCACAAGATTAAATACCAGAGAAATGTTGTTAGAAACATTGAGCTCGGCCAAGTTGGCGCTGCTGCTGGTCCCTTGCTTTCTGCTCAGCTTGAGGAAAACTTCCTCCAGGGTTGGGCAGCCGTACATCGAGAGCAGCACGTGGGGCGACTCCTCGGCCAGAAGACGGCCATTGCGCATCAGGCCAATCTAAAATTGAAAAAAAAATTATATCCTAATTGTTTAAAAAAATGAAAGATCATTTTTGGATTTTTTAATTTTCAAAGGAAAAAACTCTACCAAAAGTAAAGATTTTGCTAAAACTTTTGAGATATAAAAAGTTGAGGAGAAAATTTTATTTTTCCATTTAATAAAAAAATAAAGATTTTGCTCATATTTTGAATTCTCTTACTGTGTGCGCTTGTCTGGCCTCTTCGATGTAATGTGTGGTGATGATGACGGTCTTGTTGCCGTCCTTTGTTATCTGCACCAGATGGTTCCAGATGCTCTGACGGAGGAGCGGGTCGACGCCGACGGTCGGCTCGTCAAGGATTAGAAGCTCAGGGTCGTGCATCAGGGCGACGGCAAAAGACACTCGGCGCTGCTGACCTCCACTAAAAATTGCATGAAGAAATTTTTCAATTAGCACCTCTTGTTCTGGAAGATGGAATAAATAAAAATAAAAAGAGATTTATGGATAAATTGATACAAATGATAATTTCTTACTGGATACGTTTATAATATTTGGAAAATCTTCAATAAGTTTTTTCATCTGTTTTGTATTTTGCAACAATTTAAAAGTATTGACAAAAAACACTAAACAAATAGGCAACCCGCTCAATTATTTTGGGCACAGCAGGTTGCCTACCTCAAAATTTCAAAGGTTTTTTTTCATATTTAATAATTTCTTGAAAAATGAAAAATATTTATTTGCTAATATTTTAAATGAAGAATTTCAAACGCACCTGAGGTTTTTGACCAGACGGTTTTGGCTGGGCAGGTCTAGGAAGCTGAGGAGGAACTGCAGCCGTTCCATGATCTCACTCGAGTCCATGCCGAAGATCCAGCCGAAGTACATCATCGTCTCCTTGATGGAGAACTCGCCGTAGAGGGCGATCTCCTGGGGCATGTAGCCGACCCGCTTGCCGGGAATGCCGCTGCCCCTGGAGCCAGGCTTTCCGCCCAACACCCAGATTTCGCCCGTGTTCAGTCGGCGGCGGCCCACGATGCACGAAAGCAGCGTGGTTTTGCCGCAACCACTGGCGCCGAGCAGACCATATCTGATCAAGGAGAAAATTCAATTTAGTAAATAAAGAGATGTCATAAGAAGAAATTAAAATTACCTTAAAAATAGGATTAATTGTAAATTAATTAATTTAAAATTCAGGAATTAGAAAAAAAGGCTTATCAGTATTTTTGCACATTTATTTACTATTGTTTTTAATTACAATTTTAATAGACCATCCAAGAATGTGAATTGATTTCAATAAAATTTCATTTTTCAGAATACTATTTAAGACTTTATTCAACTTTTAGTTTAATAAAATTAAAATTTACCGAATATTTTAATTAAAATCTATTGATATTTTCTTTTTATACAAACAAATAAAAAAATTTACTCATTTTAAAGTTGTAATAATTTTTTAAGAACTTTGACCTCTCCAGTTCTTGCATAAAAACCGTGGGTTAACATTAACCTATAATTCTGGTTTGCTCATGTTACTAATTTTTTTTTAGCTTTCGAAGCCGTTTATTTCTCGCGGGCTCGCAAACCGGTGCGAGTGACAAAACTGTTGCAATTTTGCTTTGATTACCTAACCGGGTAACGCGCGTGGCGCATCTCTTTCTTTCGCTCGCGGGGCCACTTTCTCTGCATTGCTAACTAGGGATCCGAGTATTGCACAGAACCTCCAACTTTGCGGACGACGATCATATTTCACGCTACGAATCGGGCGGTGTATTTGCAGCAATTTTTCGCGAGAGGTGCAATCAAACAATGAAATGCGGAAGAAGAAGAAGAAAGTGGCGTTGAATGTTTCAAATTGACACAATAAAATTGATTGAAATATTAAAAAAATTAACTTTCTCATTTATAAAACAATTGAGTTTGAAATTGGGGTAAATTTTTTGTTTAAAAATTTAAATTACATTATTTCTTTCTTATCCTTCAGAACAAAATTTTTTGATTAACAAAATCTTTAATAAAACAAATGAGTTACAAAATAAATTAATTAAGAAAAATATTGTAATAAATAAAAAAATTTAAAAATTATACAAAACTGTAAATTTAAATTTTGGAATGATAACAATATAAAAATATTATTTTATATTTCTTATAATAATGTGTGAATATTAAATCTCTCTATGACTTAAGAGAAAATTATTAAAAAAAATCCAAGGTGCTTATTCGCTGGGGTCGAATGATTAATGATCAGCATCAGAACCAAAATGCATTATATAAATTTGATCAGGCGCGCGGTTGATTCACCCTGACACAAAGACATTGAACTGATCAGCGTCGCGCCGCCTTTTTTCTATAAAAAAATTAGGCAGAGGCGAAAAGTGCACGCGAGGCCGTTCTCTTCGATATTCGCACCCTTGCGCAAGAACAACTACTTACATGGTGCCCTTGGCCACGGTCATGTTGAGGTTGCTGAGGACCACGTTGGGTTTCTTGTTGGAGCCGTAGTGCTTGAACGCGTGGCGCACGCACACCGCGTTCTGCCGCCGGTTCCACGCGTTGCTCATGCTGCGATTCTGCAATTCTGCGATTCTGAGGTTGGCGCCGCCGTTCTCGGTCGCCACCAGGTCAGGCTCCGTCGTCGCCGGCATGTTGCCCTCGCTGCAACAAAAAATACAAAATGATTTGAAAATTGGATCAGTGGAAAATGATTTGATAAAAAAAATTGCTGAGTATTTAAAATTTTTGGAAGTTTAAATTTCTTCCTAAAACCAGAATTATGATCTTTAAAATTTAAACCTTTAATGATTTTTTTTTCAATATTAATTTCAGCTATGCAATCATTAAAATACCAAGCTTTAAGATCTGATTTTTTTTTTTTATCATGAAAGTGTTGAAAATTTATTGAAATATCTTGCAAAGTGACCCTTTATTGCCAAAGAATTTGAACCTCAATGTCAAAATTCATTTCAACGGAAAAAAAACCCTACGATAAACTTCTTGTTTGAAGCTTAGGTGTTTAAATTTGTTGTTATCAAAATATTGATGTTCATGGCCTTTAAATTTGTCTACTTTTCTAATTAAAAATAAAGCAAATTACCGTTATTGACTTTTTTATTTATTCAAAATAATTTGGCTAACTTAATTTTGATACCATATTCGAATTGATCGATTCAATCCCTTCATATTATTAATTTTCTTGAAATCTGTGAAAAAATGTTTAGTTGGTGAATTTTTATATTTTCAATTTTTTTAGTTCGCGAGAATTTCTTGTTTTATCTAAAAAACTGTCTTTCCGATTTAAAACTTAATTTAAGAAATTTATTGATTGAGAAAATGTAATTCAAATGCTAGTTGATAGGAGAAATGATGAGGCAGTTCACCCATTTTTTACACTTTTCCAAATAAGTATTTTGCGCCGACGAAACAACTTTATTGTGAAACAAGCGCGAACGTTCCCTCCATTAATAATTAAAATGCAGCCGCAGCACTTCCTCTAAGCTCGGCAGCCGAAATATTATAAGATAAAGATAATTTTTAACCGCAAACTGATAAGGTCTGTCGGTGACTTTCTTAACTTAATTGAAGAGAATTTCATCGACTCATAAATTAATCAAAATGTTGTGCAATTTTGATAAAAAAAAGTATCTGATATTCGGCTTAGCCCATTTAAATATTTAATAAATTTGCGTGAGAAACAACAAAGTGGCGCTTCCTTTCATAATATCCGATTCCACGCAATCCGCAGTTTAATAAAATATTTATCCTCGGCACGAGCGCGCTAAGTGAATTAAAAATGCTTTTTCCTTCGAGAATTCTCGCTAATTTGACCGAAGGATAAACAGAGTATCGAGCTAGAGTGTGGCGTGTTTATTTAGACCTCACGAAAGCACTGGTGACCTTCCAATATTTTACGGCAGAATATTTCAGTGGCATAGAGTCTGAAAGACGAAGAAAGCTTGTTGTTCCTATCCTTCAAAAAGCTAACTGCTTCATAATTTTAGAAAAATATTATTTATTTTTAGTGGTGTGAAAATAAAAATGCATTATTTACTCTAAAAGTCACATTTGATGGAAGAAGCGAATAGATATGAAATAAGATGAATGATTTCGTGAAAAGGAAATAGACTATTACAGCATTTAAAAAAAATCCAAAAAAATTGTGCTTTTATTCTTGGCAGTGAAGAGATCAGGCTTTTTCTCGTTATAATTATTTTTATTTTATTTAAAAACAAGACTCCATGATCATCTCCTTGAGTGTCAATTTCTTTAAAGCTTTTATTATTGTTATTTGAGAAGTACAAATAACAAAAATACTTTAATAAATAAAGTAATTTATTAATTAAATTACTTTGCTCTTGGATATTCAATAAAACAACATTTGCATAATCTAATATTCCACTTCAAAGCTAGTTCATATGAAAACATTAATTGTTTTACAAATTTCTTTTTCTTATTCAGACACGTTTTTACTGTGATGTCTAAATATAAATCCAGAGTACTGACATTCGATTATTCTAAACTTTAATCTAACGCAGATTAAACACGTGCATTATTTAACAAACAGTTATTATAAATATTTTTGTCTCGTCGCCAGATTTGAACTATATATAGAGCAATGGATTAAGTAGATCAACCAGACGCAGCCATGCAACTCTCCAAGTGATTAATCCACAAATTAATCAAAATTCGTTTGTTAACAAATTTTTTTCCAGACTTGGTTTTGTTTTGTGCCTTTTCGTTCTGATGCAGGTCTACGATGCCAAGGCTGAAAATTTGAAAGAAAGGTTGTGCAAGAACTATGATACGAATACAGAGTATTGCAAATTCTTGAATGAATTACTAGAGCAAGGTATGAACCGAGTTGATCAATTTTGCTGAAGTTATTATATCTGTCACGTTCATAATTTACAGGAGCTAAAGATTTGCAGCAATTTTGGAGGAATAAGTTCGAAGAGCTTGACAGAGCATTTGGTGATAGCTTCGTAAGAAAAGGAAATGCTTTTTACGAGAGTATTGCTGATGGTGTTGCTGCAGGCTTCGCATCATAATGAATTTTTCAGACGAGGTCAAGTCTCAGATTTGAAGTGAACAGCGAGAGTGAAATGAACAAGGAATCTTCATCATATTAATTAAAAAATAAAAAATCAGTCGCACCTCTATATTTGCTTAATAAAAAAAAGTGTCAAAATTTACAAAACCAATTTTGTTTTACTATATTTTAGCAAGGTTTTAAATTTTAAAGTTCTGGTTGTGGAAATTTACGTTTGAAGAGAATTTTTGCCTGATTATTCTTTTGAATTCGGCTCACAGCTAATATCAACGGTTTCATCTAAATTCAATTTGAGCTGAAGCACTATTTTGGTATTTTTAAAAATATTGATTTTTTTACACACAAAAAAGCCATAACAATATTGTTGTATATTATATTTTTTATTTAAATTTTGTCCGACATTCACATACACGAAGTGCACTGCGTTCTGTTTTTTTTTTCATGTAAATATCAGTATGCAAATTTCACAAAAAAAAAAATCATTGTGTGAGACTTTGGCAACCTCAGACTTCTGTAAACAACATATTCTGAGTTTAGTTTGACCCCTCTAAGATTTTTGAAAGGTGAAAATTTTAAGCATAAAATATATGAATAAAATATTACAATAATTTACAGTCATGGAAAATAATGTAACACTTGAATTTGTTGATTTTGGGCCATTTATTTACCATAGAAAAATCTGGTTTTGCAATTTGCGCCGATTTGTTTGCGCATCAGGGAACTACTTAAGAAAAACATTTTAATGCCCGTTTTTCAACTTGTCTCGCGATAGAAGACTCAAAAAAATTTAAAAGAAGACCCAGTATAATGTCTATACTTCTAATTCGGATCTCTTCAAGAATTACCAAATTAAAATATTTTATTTGCAATGTGATGATGAAAGAAGCGTTTTCATCAAGAAAACAATATTTATTAATTTTTTAATTTTTTTAATTTTATAGATTCAGCATTGCACAAATCGATTCAAAGATAATTCTGACAATAGAATTCCGTTTTTTTTATTGCCAGAAGTTTTTTTTTAAATATTCAACATTATTATGTAAAGCACTGTTTTAGGATTTGATCTTCAAGAATAACACAAAATTCTGTTTAATCTTACATAAAAAAATTATAATCAAAATACATTCCTTTGGCTTCATTGCATTTTTGAATTAATGATTTTTTTACACATAAGAAGGGCAGCAGTTTCACAAAACTTGTGTTTTTTCATCACCATAACTAACAATTTTTCTTCAATTTTTCAATTTTGTTTTCCCTAGCTTGAAAGCAAGCTTCAGATACAATTGTTTATAATCATGGCTGGCCTTCAATTAATCTTTTGTAATTTCGTCATAAAATCTGTGAAGATCAAAAAATATTTTCAAGCAGTAATTTTAAACAAAAATAAGTCTGGATGTAAAGATAAAAAACAGCTGTGGCTTTGTTTTACAAACAGATTAAACATTTTTGCATTATATAAAGCTGCAGCATCGCTGGTGGTTCAACCAAACGAGCACCAACCATGCAGCTCTCCAAGTGATTTATCCACAAATTATTTAAATAATTAATGCTAACAAAATCTCATTTTCAGAGTGGGTTTCATTTTGTGCCTCTTCATTTCGATGTGCGTCTACAGCGTTAATGCTAATGGGATTTGCAGATTGTATCATAAAAATTGCCAGGACTGCACCATAAGCGAAGCGCTCTGCGATGAAGCAACAGCGGCCGCCGCCACAGGTTTGAACTGATTTTATCAAGTATGATACAAAATGTTTAATCGCAATTATATTTTCCGCTTTACAGAATTAGCTGCTGTGAATCAAGAGATAAAAATGGCTTTTGAAACTTATGCGAGTGAGTTGGTTGATTATTTGCAGAATATCAATGCGGTTATTCAAGTAGTATTGCAAGCTGCTATTCAGGAAAGTTTAAATAATTAACTTTCTCACTTACACGTCTCAGACAACACAAAGGACAACGAATTTTTAGAAAAACTTTTCTCAATTATATGCAAGATCAATAAAAGGATTAATGCAAAACTAACTAAATATCGTCTTTACTTTTTTAACATTTGAGAACAAATAAATTTTTAATATAAATTGGTCATCTTAAGTAAAAAAAGGAATTTTATATATTTTGTTGCTTGTGGTTGCTTGTTGAAATTCTTTATTTGACGAGCTTGCTCTGCAAATTTTTAATTTGACAATTTTAATCTCAATAAAATTCGATGACTATAGGAATGGTTTAAATTTTCTAATTTCAAATAGCACCGACATAAAAAAGTTTTTGAGCAAATTTCCTCAATTTTTAGCAACGACAAAAAAAATTAAAAAACATAAACCAAGGATTTAAATCTACTGACTGAATGAATACGAAATCTATAGAAGGGAAGCCAAATATTTCAACTGCTTTTACGTACAGCCGCTCTGGTCCTGCAACCAAGTTGATTTCGCTTTATAAATTTTGTCATTTTCTTGTTTTCTTGTGGCTCTGAAATTGCATTTGTCAATAATTTAAAGCATCAAAGAGTGTATTTATTTTTTTAATCAAGAATTTTGCTGATTTTGCAAATTTCTACAGCATGTCAAATGAAATAAATTTTGCGTTTTGAACCTTGAAAACAGTTGGG